TTGCCGCAGATTTGTCGGCTGCACATCCATGATGCGAATCTCCCGTTCCACCACATCCCAAAGATGCTCTATTGGATTGAGATCTGGTGACTGTGGAGGCCATTTGAGTACAGCGAACTCATTGTCATGTTCAAGAAACCAGTCTGAGATGATTCCAGCTTTATGACATGGCGCATTATCCTGCTGAAAGTAGCCATCAGAAGTTGGGTACATTGTGGTCATAAAGGGATGGACATGGTCAGCAACAATACTCAGGTAGGCTGTGGCGTTGCAACGATGCTCAATTGGTACCAAGGGGCCCAAAGAGTGGCAAGAAAATATTCCCCACACCATGACACCCACCACCAGCCTGAACCGTTGATACAAGGCAGGATGGATCCATGCTTTCATGTTGTAGACGCCAAATTCTGACCCTACCATCCGAATGTCGCAGCAGAAATCGAGACTCATCAGACCAGGCAACGTTTTTCCAATCTTCTATTGTCCAATTTCGATGAGCTTGTGCAAATTGTAGCCTCAGTTTCCTGTTCTTAGCTGAAAGGAGTGGCACCCGGTGTGGTCTTCTGCTGCTGTAGCCCATCTGCCTCAAAGTTCGACGTACTGTGCGTTCAGAGATGCTCTTCTGCCCACCTTGGTTGTAACGGGTGGTTATTTGAGTCACTGTTGCCCTTCTATCAGCTCGAACCAGTCTGGCCATTCTCCTCTGACCTCTGGCATCAACAAGGCATTTCCGCCCACAGAACTGCCGCTCACTGGATGTTTTTTCTTTTTCGGACCATTCTCTGTAAACCCTAGAGATGGTTGTGCGTGAAAATCCCAGTAGATTAGCAGTTTCTGAAATACTCAGACCAGCCCTTCTGGCACCAACAATCATGCCACGTTCAAAGTCACTCAAATCACCTTTCTTCCCCATACTGATGCTCGGTTTGAACTGCAGGAGATTGTCTTGACCATGTTTTGCCGCCATGTGATTGGCTGCTTAGAAATTAAGTGTTAACGAGCAGTTGGACAGGTGTACCTAATAAAGTGGCCGGTGAGTGTATTTGATATTAATAACACATTTTTCTTAAATATATACATGCATATGTGTGTATTTATATATACAAAATAATTCACACGCACACAACACGCATATATTATGTAAACACAAACTTTTATTTTGGATGCGATTAATCGTTTCAGAGCCCTACTATAAATATCAATATTTTATATATAATTAATATTTTTTTTCTTAAATATACATGCATGTGTGTGTATTTATATATAATTATACACAGTGCACCCACATATATTATGTAAACACAAACTTTTATTTTGGATGCGATTAATCGAGATTAATCGTTTCACAGCCCTACTATAAATATCAATATTTTATATATAAATAATATTTTTTTCTTAAATATACATGCATGTGTGTGTATTTATATACAATTATACACAGTGCACCCACATATATTATGTAAACACAAACTTTTATTTTGGATGCGATTAATCGCGATTAATCGTTTGACAGCCCTAACTTAAAAAAGTTAAGCTGTACATATATTTAAATCTATAAATATAAAGTGTTGATGCCTGGTTTCATGTCAGATTCAAGTTTGGAGCTCTAGTGTGAATGTTTTTAGGGACAAAATCATCAAAATGTGTTATTTGAATGGTTAACGGGTGAGTAGAACAAGTTATTTTTACTTGGTCAGTAACAGAAACGTCACATTGATCATTTTTCACATCAGACGCATCATCAATGCTAATGGTCACAGCAGCTGTCGGTCCGCGGTCTTCTCCTGACTTTGCAGTGTCATTGGATTTGGAGGATGGGGAGGGGGTGTTTGTGGGATTGACTCAATGAAGCGAAGGGTACGACCAGGTTTCAATAGGAGGGGGCAGGGGAGGGTTATAGTTAAATGTCAAGTCTAAGAGTGTGTGTTTGACAGCGGCCTATCTAGGCTAAGAGTGTTTGACCTTTCCCATGGTCATTTAACCAGGTGGCACTGAAAAGAGCTACTCGATGGCATAAATGTTGCCGTGTCATGTGACTCTCGAGCGCTTCCCGCCGACAGCTCTCACACGGACTGAAGTGACGTATAATCCCGAAGAGGAAGCCGTCAGTCAGTAAATAATAAGGCCTCAGATCTGGACGGGAGACAGTTAACAGTTGCTTCACGATGCTCGTGTTACAGGTTGTGTTGAGTTTCATCAAACGATCAAAAGCAAGAATGATCTGTGAACAAATTCACACAGTCATTATCAACACTGTCAACGTTACGAGATGCATTTACATCTATATTGAGTTCAAAATCATATTAATATTACTATAATCAATATGAATGTTGTAATGTTTGGGATATATATGTATTATATAACTGGGATGGTCAGAGCATAAGCTTCATTTTGTGGTCATTGACACATTTTTTTGTGTTGATTTTGATGTTTGTTTTGGATCGTTGTCCTGATGGAGGATCCAATCACGGCCCGTTATAAGATTTCTAGCATAAGCGGTCAGGTTTTGATGTGTTTTTCTGTTGGTACTTGTTACAATCCATAATGTCATGTATCTGAAACAGTAACTCCAGCAAATTATAGGCCCACACATATATTAGTGTTGGGCAACAATTAATCGGGATTAATCGCATCCAAAATAATTGAAAAAATAAAATAAAATAAAATATTTTTTTATATATAAATACACACAAATGCATGTATATATTTAAGAAATATTTGCATGTATATATATTAAGACATAATACATTTTTCTTAAATATATACATGCATGTGTGTATATATATATATATATATACAAAATAATTAAACAGAGTACACACATATATTATGTAAACACAAACTTTATTTTGGGTGCGATATATATATCACAATATATATATACTAATATGTATGTATATGTATATATGCGTGTATGTGTATATATATATATATATATATATTTATATTTAATATAATAAATCTTCAGCTTCAGTTTAGTAATAGCAATGCTTGATGCTAATAAGCGATTACAAAGTAATAATATTGTTTATTAGTCTAACTGTAGGCTGTTTATGGTTGCAACATTATGATCAAAGATTATACTGTAAATAAAATGACTGAAGCGGTAATATATCCTTTAACTGATGTACAGTCACAGGTGAACAATTTTATAATGGCTTTAAATACAGCCCATCCAAACAGATTTTAAATCTATTCATAACTTTTTTTACTGTGGCGGTCGATTGTACAACAACTAATCAGTTCTCATTATGTGTAGTCTTGCGTTAGATGATATTGTGTTATTGTGTCTGTTGATGGGTAGGAAGGAGATTTATAGATTTTCATACAGCAAATTGAATTTAAAGTTCTCTTTTCATTTGTTATCCTGACCGTTGCTTTATCACTGAACACATATTCCTCTCCCTTGTCAAAGTTTATTCTTCCAGCACTATTCATAACAGCCATTATCCAGCTCCTCGTCTCTCTCTCTCTCTCTGTTCTATTCATGAAAGGAGAAGCGAGGGAGGGGGTCAATTCTTCTAATTGAAATTCTTTGCAGAGTCTCCATGGGAATAGTAAACTTTGGAGAGGGTTTGAAGAGAAAGGGGGAACAGGACAGAGAGAGTTATTGAAAAGATTTACCCCCGCAAACTGTGCATTCGGGAGGGAGCGGACTGAGAGATTCAGTGATTCAGGTTGTTCGTGTAAACTACGGCCGGTGGACACCGATGTCTGTTTAATGAGAGAGAGAGAGATGTGTTTGCACCTTCGTTTTGTGTCTGAGCCGCTTTCACTGTTTATTCTCCACAAACAGTTTCTAGGGTTACTTCAGTCATTAAAAAATAGAAATGTCAGGGGATTTTAAGACCTGGAAAAATCATATCTTTGTCATGTTATACTTCGTTCTGAAATATTTGACCAGCTTGAGTTGCTTCTTGTGGATTTTTTTTTTTTTTAATCCTAGTTTAATCACACACAAGAGGAGGAATTTTAAGTCTTATCTAGTTATATTTCACTCTTAAAATATTTCATTAGCCTGAATTGCGTCTTGTGTGTGCAATCTGTAAAATTATTTTTAAAAATCCAAATCATCGCACAAAACAGGATTTTGGGAAACTTTAATACCTAGAAATGTCATGTAAATTTCTATTTTGTCAATATGTATTTGTCTAGTTATTTCATTCTGAAAAAATGTGTAAAATTATTATTTTTTTAAATCCTTGTTTAATCACACACAAGAGGAGCAATTTTAAGTCTTGAAAATAAATGTATCTAGTTATATTTCAGTAAAATGTTTCAAATATTTTGAAATATTTCAATATTTCAAAATAAAATATTTTAAATATTTCTTAAAATATTTCATTAGCCTGAATTGCTTCTTGTGTGTGCAATAAAAATCCTTAAATAATAAATCATCGCATAAAACAAGATTTTGGGAAACTTTAATACCTAGAAATGTCATGGAAATTTCTATAATTTTGTCAATATGTATTTGTCTAGTTATTTCATTCTGAAAAATGTGTAAAATGATTTTTTTTTTTAAATCCCTGAAAATATTTTAAATGAAGGGGATAAAATTACCCTGAATTTCTACTTCAGCATACGTTCCTTCACCATTAAATGTTAAGGTGAAAATTAAATTAAGCATTAAAATGAATCATCATAGAAACTTTTATTTTGTACCACAGACACTCTTTTAGTTAGTTATTTGATGTCCAGTGTAACATCTGGGTTGATCTTTAAGAACCGTATACACTTAAAACAGTGTTGTTTGCTTAACCTAAGGTGCTTTTAAGTATTCAAAGTCCCGCTTCATTTCACCCCTTTCTTTTTCTTCCATCCATATTGTCTTTCTTCTGTTTCTCTCTGTCCATCTCTTTCCCTCCTCCCTCTCGACCCCTCCATCTGCTGCCCCTCTCTGTTTCTTCAGAGCTTCACAATAGAGCCTCATGCTGAGTAATGGCTTAGAGTGTCTCATCCTTCTCTTTTGTGTGTGTGTGTGTGTGTTTTGTCTGCAGGTTGATGACGCGATGCTAATGTTTGACAAAACCACCAACAGGCACAGAGGTAAGGCGGCATTCAGGCACGCACACACGCCAAATGCACACGCTCGCGTTCAAAGCCTCGTTGAGTCATATAATTATACAACAACAGTCAAGTGTGTACATGCTTCTGCAGTCATTCAGGAGCTGGTGTTATCCTCTCTTCTCCTCTCCTCTCATCTAGTCTAGTCTCGTCTAGTCTCTTCTCGTCTTTTCTCTATTTGTCTGGTTTCTTCTCCTCTTGTCTCATCTCTTCTCCACTCTTTTCGTCTGGTCTCTTCTAGTCTCGTCTAGTCTTGACTTTTCTTGTATCGTCTCCTCTCGTCTCCACTCTTTTCCTCTGGTCTCATCTCGTCTAGTCTTGTCTTTTCTTGTATCGTCTCGTCTCTTCACTCTTTTCCTTCTTGTCTCTTCTCCACTCTTTTCGTCTGGTCTCTTCTAGTCTCGTCTAGTCTTGCCTTTTCTTGTATCGTCTCGTCTCTTCTCCACTCTTTTCGTCTCTCCTCCACTCTTTTCGTCTGGTCTCGTCTAGTCTTGCCTTTTCTTGTATCATCTCTTCTCCACTCTTCTCGTCTCTTCTCCACTCTTTTCGTCTGGTCTCTTCTAGTCTCGTCTAGTCTTGCCTTTTCTTTTATCATCTCATCTCTTCTCCACTCTTTTCGTCTGGTCTCTTCTAGTCTCGTCTAGTCTTGCCTTTTCTTGTATCGTCTCGTCTCTTCTCCACTCTTTTCGTCTCTTCTCCACTCTTCTTGTCTCTTCTCCACTCTTTTCGTCTCATCTCGTCTAGTCTTGTCTTTTCTTGTATCGTCTCGTCTCTTCTCCACTCTTTTCGTCTCTTCTCCACTCTTCTCGTCTGGTCTCTTCTAGTCTCGTCTAATCTTGCCTTTTCTTGTATCGTCTCCTCTCGTCTCCACTCTTTTCGTCTGCTCTCATCTTGTCTAGTCTTGCCTTTTCTTGTATCGTCTCATCTCTTCTCCACTCTTTTCGTCTCTTCTCCACTCTTCTCGTCTCTTCTCCACTCTTTTCGTCTGGTCTCTTCTAGTCTCGTCTAATCTTGCCTTTTCTTGTATCGTATCGTCTCATCTCTTCTCCACTCTTTTCGTCTGGTCTCTTCTAGTCTCGTCTAATCTTGCCTTTTCTTGTATCGTATCGTCTCATCTCTTCTCCACTCTTTTCGTCTCTTCTCCACTCTTTTCGTCTCTTCTCCACTCTTTTCGTCTCTTCTCCACTCTTCTCGTCTCTTCTCCACTCTTTTCGTCTGGTCTCTTCTAGTCTCGTCTAATCTTGCCTTTTCTTGTATCGTCTCCTCTCGTCTCCACTCTTTTCGTCTCTTCTCCACTCTTTTCGTCTGCTCTCATCTTGTCTAGTCTTGCCTTTTCTTGTATCGTCTCATCTCTTCTCCACTCTTTTCGTCTCTTCTCCACTCTTCTCGTCTCTTCTCCACTCTTTTCGTCTGGTCTCTTCTAGTCTCGTCTAATCTTGCCTTTTCTTGTATCGTATCGTCTCATCTCTTCTCCACTCTTTTCGTCTCTTCTCCACTCTTCGTCTCTTCTCCACTCTTTTCGTCTCTTCTCCACTCTTCTTGTCTCTTCTCCACTCTTTTCGTCTGCTCTCATCTCGTCTAATCTTGCCTTTTCTTCTATCGTCTCATCTCTTCTCCACTCTTTTCGTCTGGTCTCTTCTAGTCTCGTCTAATCTTGCCTTTTCTTGTATCGTATCGTCTCATCTCTTCTCCACTCTTTTCGTCTCTTCTCCACTCTTTTCGTCTCTTCTCCACTCTTCTCGTCTCTTCTCCACTCTTTTCGTCTGGTCTCTTCTAGTCTCGTCTAATCTTGCCTTTTCTTGTATCGTCTCCTCTCGTCTCCACTCTTTTCGTCTCTTCTCCACTCTTTTCGTCTGCTCTCATCTTGTCTAGTCTTGCCTTTTCTTGTATCGTCTCATCTCTTCTCCACTCTTTTCGTCTCTTCTCCACTCTTCTCGTCTCTTCTCCACTCTTTTCGTCTGGTCTCTTCTAGTCTCGTCTAATCTTGCCTTTTCTTGTATCGTATCGTCTCATCTCTTCTCCACTCTTTTCGTCTCTTCTCCACTCTTCGTCTCTTCTCCACTCTTTTCGTCTCTTCTCCACTCTTCTTGTCTCTTCTCCACTCTTTTCGTCTGCTCTCATCTCGTCTAATCTTGCCTTTTCTTCTATCGTCTCATCTCTTCTCCACTCTTTTCGTCTGGTCTCTTCTAGTCTCGTCTAATCTTGCCTTTTCTTGTATCGTATCGTCTCATCTCTTCTCCACTCTTTTCGTCTCTTCTCCACTCTTTTCGTCTCTTCTCCACTCTTCTCGTCTCTTCTCCACTCTTTTCGTCTGGTCTCTTCTAGTCTCGTCTAATCTTGCCTTTCTTGTATCGTCTCCTCTCGTCTCCACTCTTTTCGTCTCTTCTCCACTCTTTTCGTCTGCTCTCATCTTGTCTAGTCTTGCCTTTTCTTGTATCGTCTCATCTCTTCTCCACTCTTTTCGTCTCTTCTCCACTCTTCTCGTCTCTTCTCCACTCTTTTCGTCTGGTCTCTTCTAGTCTCGTCTAATCTTGCCTTTTCTTGTATCGTATCGTCTCATCTCTTCTCCACTCTTTTCGTCTCTTCTCCACTCTTCGTCTCTTCTCCACTCTTTTCGTCTCTTCTCCACTCTTCTTGTCTCTTCTCCACTCTTTTCGTCTGCTCTCATCTCGTCTAATCTTGCCTTTTCTTCTATCGTCTCATCTCTTCTCCACTCTTTTCGTCTGGTCTCTTCTAGTCTCGTCTAATCTTGCCTTTTCTTGTATCGTATCGTCTCATCTCTTCTCCACTCTTTTCGTCTCTTCTCCACTCTTCTCGTCTCTTCTCCACTCTTTTCGTCTCTTCTCCACTCTTCTCGTCTCTTCTCCACTCTTTTCGTCTGGTCTCTTCTAGTCTCGTCTAATCTTGCCTTTTCTTGTATCGTCTCCTCTCGTCTCCACTCTTTTCGTCTCTTCTCCACTCTTTTCGTCTGCTCTCATCTTGTCTAGTCTTGCCTTTTCTTGTATCGTCTCATCTCTTCTCCACTCTTTTCGTCTCTTGTCCACTCTTCTCGTCTCTTCTCCACTCTTTTCGTCTCTTCTCCACTCTTTTCGTCTGGTCTCTTCTAGTCCCGTCTTGTCTTTTCTTGTATCTTCTCCTCTCGTCTCCACTCCTCTCTTCTCTTCTGCACTCTTTTCGCCTGGTCCGGTCTCTTCTCGTCTCTTTTCCTCTCGTCTTGTCTCTTCTCCACTCTTCTCTTTTCGTGTCTTCTCGTTTTGTCTCGTCATCTCATCTCTTGTATTTGAGGAATAATTTAATGCTCAAAAGTTGCTCATTTACAACTCAGGAGATGTAATGAAGTTCTTATTTATACTTATTCTTCAGTATCAACTTCGTCTCAGACGTTTCTCCCCAGAGTGTGCATGTCAAGTGTTCGCTCAAAATACCCCACAGATATTTTCATATAGCATGTTAAAATTGTCACATATTGAGGGTGAGCAAAAATGCACCGTTTTTGTGCTTGTCCCTTTAAATGCAAATGAGCTGCTGCTCTCAGCACAGGGGGCGGAGCTACAACAGCTTGTGTCCTTTTACATTACGCAGATGTGCACTGAAAATGTCAATATTTATGTTCAAACCGGAATCAGACAATAACGGAGAGACTCGAGAAGAAGTTACAACATGTAAAAGCAACAGGACATTTCTGAATGGTTAGTTGTTGAATTTAGGTAGCTTACGTGTAGTTATCTTCTAGAATTGATTAGCATATTCTGTCATGATAATCTATAAATCATGTTCCTGGGGCGGGGTTTATGCAAATTTTAGGGTTGGTGATGTCACGTTTGTTGTAGTCCTTAAAAACGATTTCTTTAAAAGCAAATATCTTCCAACATTACACACTAACTAAAGTTAGAAAAGTGAAATCATAATCGGCCACCCCTTTAAATAACTAGAAAAACTTATTTGTGATCATGTTGTGATCAAGCTCAATTTGTTGCTCAAAGTTATGCTTCATTTAAGCTTTCTTTTTGATAAAGTCAGATCAAACTCTTATTAAAGAAAAAAAAAGATCAAAGGTTGGTCTTTCATGTGATATTTGAGATCTCGTCTCTTCTCATCATTGTCTCATGCCTATTGGCTCAGGGGCTTTGCTAAAGTTCATTTAGGGTAATAGGGGTTTGGTGTTGGTGAGCTGGTTAGTAGTTCAGAGGTTAAACTGTCACGCACCTGGGATAGACAGCAGGTGGGCGGAGTCACAGATGAGTGGGCGGGGTCGAGGAGGTAAGTGCAGCAGGTGAAGCGGTAATCTCTGGAGAGAATGTGCTGAATATATGAACAGCTGTAAACAGAACAAAAGAGAGAACAGCTAATGGGGAAAATTGATGCCAGGATTGCACTGGGCAAAATAAACATGCTCTATGTTTAGATTCTGTGAAAGCAGCGTCATGTTTGTGATCCGTGTGTACTTGCTCTGCAGGTTTTGGCTTTGTGACCTTTGAGAATGAAGACGTGGTGGAAAAGGTCTGCGAGATCCACTTTCATGAGATCAACAACAAGATGGTGAGTGTGTCCTGCTTTTTATAACGGTTTGAAAGACACCCTTATATTCAGTAATAATGTTGATTTGAATACACAACTGACTGGATAACAACTGGATAATGAACTTCTTGTCTTCTGCTTCATAACTGAATCAAATTGGTTTCATTATTGAAGAATTTTGCGACATTGACCCGAATTGAATCATCATTGAACTGAAAAATGACACTATTGTCTTCTGCAGTGCTTCTTATATCTGGAATTGAGCACATTTCATAATTGAACTTAATAAAACCAACACTGAACTATATTGACGCTATTCGTTATTCTCATATTTGTTAAAGTTTGCTTCACCGATTCTGTTATTTGTAGTGTATAAAGCGCTATAGAAGTGTGTGATGACTGTCTTCGGCTCTGTTTGAAGGTGGAGTGCAAGAAGGCGCAGCCGAAGGAAGTGATGTCACCGACAGGTACGGCGCGAGGCCGCTCCAGGGTGATGCCCTACGGCATGGACGCCTTCATGCTGGGGATAGGCATGCTGGGTAAGATGGAAAACGCAAATCATCTCAGTGAACTCGCGCACACATGAGTAAATGAGAGTTTGGCGCCAGCTGCTGTTTACAATAGGAAACTGCACTGCGTGATTGTGAGCTTGCCACAAATCAGAGCAACACATGTCACGTTATGCAAGATTTTATTTTTATACTTAATTGTGAAAAGGGTTAATGCACAAAATAAACATCGCAAATTACATCAAACGTTATTTCACAACAGTCAAAACAGGGTTTTATTCAGAACATTCATTCACAGTTAGTAATTTAGACTCTAAAACAAATACACATCATTAAAAATGTCTTACCGCTGGATAAATGAGTAAATACATAGAGAATTAAATTCTGAATTAGTAACAAATATTGTAGTAAAATATGAAATTAATTAAACACATTCACTAAAAACACTAGACACAAGACATTGAGCTAAAATGACTTAATTTTCATTAGTAACTGTGGAAGAAAAGATCTGTTTTCTTCTTCTATGTTTGTTATTCTTACTTTTTATAAGAATATGTATGAAATATGCTGGTAACACTTTACAATGACGTCCCATTAAATATCGAAGAGAAATGCATTTATTGCGGTTTTGCGGATCATGCTATCCCATTAAATAACTTTAACAGGTACTTTTGACCTTTGTAATGTATTAGTAAATGTTGAAACTAACATTAATAAATGCTATAAAAGTATTTTTTATTGTTTGTTCATTTAGTTAACTAATGTTAGCAAATGGAACCTTATTGTAAATGTGCTATATGAATAAACATGCCTGGTCTCTGTTGCTTTTCAGGTTACCCAGGGTTCCAGGCGGCCACCTACGCCAGTCGTGGCTACACAGGAATCACACCAGGATACACATACCAGTTCCCAGGTCAGTCCTCCTTTCCTCGTTTCTATCTGTGCAGAACTATCACAGAGCCAGTCATCCACTGCAATGTTAAAATGCATCATTTAATAAATTACAAACATAGTTAGAAATTAACTATTTTTCCCTCTGAGTTGATTTTTTTTTTTTGATGGATTTGATCAAAACACTCTCAAACACAGTAGTTTTTAAAGCTGCTTGTAGATTTCAGCACTAGATTAGGCTGTTTTTGCCATACTATCCCACAAGACATTTCAAAGAGAAAGAAATATTTCCAACTGCTTCTCAGCGTGACATCAGTAAAATAAGTTTTTAAATCACCCTTGACCAGAAACATAACCTTTTCCCAAATGACATTCACAATAATGGACAGTGTGGGTTCATTTATTAAACCATTTGATTGACTATTAAGCTAATTTGATAGCGCTTTCAGTATATCGTTAGCCTCATAGCATAATTGCCTAAGTCATATTTCAACGTTTTTGGAAAACACAAAAAAACACAATATTTAGAAATCACATTGTGATTTTTTATTGATATTATAACAGTACATTCAACCAGATGTGTGAACAAGTATGCAAAAAGAAATAGATCCATCACCAATTGCCTGACAAATAAAAGTGACTTAGGCAGAACATGCCATGACTTAGGCATTTTTTCTCTTACATATAAATGCAAACATAACATAACAAAAGTTGTTTTTCTCTCCTAATTATAACCATGTGTAACTTGCCAACCTTAACAAAGTTGTTTCTTAATGTCTAACCGTAACTAGCCTATTGTTTTCCTTTTCCACTCTTAATCGAAGTTCAATTCAGGTGTTGTGCAAACATAACATAACCATAGTTGTTTGTTTTTTTTTTATTCTCCTAAATTTAACCAAGATGTGTAACTTAACTCTAACCAAGATGTTTCTTAATGTCTAACCTTAACCACTTTTCCTTTCCTACCAAGTTCTACTCAGGTGCTGTGCACACTCATTTTGACACTGTCTATTGATGAGGGAGGTTGTCATAGTACTGGTGGGCCACTCTTGGTAGTACTGGTTTCATTGCCTGCAAGTCGTTGAATTTCCTGAGAGTAATTGGCAATTGGGCAGGAAAGAGTGGGACCCAGTGGAATGGTTCTTTGGGGATGCTGATTCGCTGAGGCAGGTCCTCCCATTCAGACTCAAATTCCAACTTGTACCGGATTTGACCATCAGCCAAGTACTGGAGAGCCCGGAGGCCATGGACTGTGGGGTCACCAACCTTTTTGCCTGGTCGAATATTGGTGACATAGGTCCCAGATAACTTCATGAAGTCATTGTGGTATAGTTGAGTCACCTTGTATGGGGATGGATGCATTCGTGCAGTCTCAAAGATGACAATGTAATCACGCGGAGTGTGAATTTCTTTGACGATGCGCCGCTCAATGAGGCTATGCATGGAGTCACACTCCATTTGCGTGTGCCCAGCAACCAGAAACTTCTGCTCTATGGTGACACCATGCGTCATGGCCAGATGAAGGTAGGTGTTGCTGATGGCACCACACCGATTTTGATACCCACAGCCATCACTCCAGACAATGACTTTCTCAATGTTTCTGTTGGCCTCTAGGATTGATTCGAAGTGTTTGAACTGCAGATGGGCAAAAACCTCACTGCTAAGGGAGCCTTCATGCTCTTCCCAAGCGTAACAATATCCATCTTTGTTGTTCATGTTGAAGCAAGTAAAGTTGTGCATCTGTAATTTAGTTTTGTAATACATGGTACTCGCTTTCGTCTGGGGGCACAAAAGAACGCATTGAAGGTCCATTGTCCACACTGAAAGTTTGTCACTGGACTCCTTTTTATCCTTAGCTTTTTCAGCTTGAGCCTGAGCCTTTAATTTCAAGTGAGTAGTAAGGGTATCCTGATCTGTATTTCCTACCTTGGCGCTGACACATACATCACACTGGTCTTTTTTTGGTATGAACACAGAGTAATTCTGCTCTCTGAACACTTTTCGAAAATATGTCTCACTTACAGCACGTGCTCCATTTTCACCAGCAGCTTTCTGATATTCCTTGTGAAGATCACTCAGAACTGTTCCTGGCTCCAGGAACTTCTTTTCCTGATAGGAGGGAACCTGACGGCAGTAATGAGATGGGACTGTAGGCAATCCAGAGAGCCATTCTTTCAGGAAGGTCTGGTCAACATCTGAAATGGGCACATGTGGGCCAGTCTTGTTGTTCTTGGGTTTACACACATCAGTTTTGGATTTCATGTCCACATTTAACCATGATCCGATGGTTCTGGGGGCGATGCCAAGTGTTGAACAGAAAAGATTCTTACACACAGGTAGTTTACATCTATCTGCCTGTTGCAGGTGGTAAAGTAGGGATGTTGTTCTCCTTGATGCAACACCACCTTTCTTCTGTTTTATGGGCACATTTTCAACTAGAGTCTGGATATACAGCTTGCGTGTCTCCCAGGAGGGCATGGACCAGAAATTGTTGAAGATATTGGTTCTCTCCTCTTCAGTCAGTAGTTCACAACTTCGTTTCTCCGACTTTAAGCAGTGCTGTGATGTGCAGGGTGGACCCATGGTCTTTGGTGGTCTCTCCTGTCCCATTATATTTTTGTAACTCTCCCCCTTAAGACGCTTCTCCTTTATCACCTCTCGCTTCCACGTATCTGGCCGTGGACGCCTATGACGTTGAACAGCAGCAGCTCCTGCATGTCCTTCACTGTGTTGAGCTGTGTCTGTATCACTACCATAATCTGGGCTGTCATCTTTCTCAGGTCTATAGTCCTCATCCAAGACAGTGTCATCGATTTCACTATTTGATGATACATCAGGATCTGATTCAGCTCTGGAGGCTTTACTGGCTGTTTCCTCTTCTATCTGTTGCCTCATGTCTATGTCATTACATTCTTTCTCAGGTCTACTCTCATCTAAATCCTCTAACTCCACTACATTTCCTGACAATGAAGCAGAACATAAAGTGCAGTTGAATATTTTAACACAATTCATATGTTCACTGCAACAAAAAGGTAACACTTTACAAAAAGGTTAATTTAATAAACATTATGTATTAACTAACATGAACTTGCAATGAGTAATACATTTTTTACAGCATTTATTAATCTTTGTAAATGTTATTTAATAGAAATAAAGCTGTTCATTGTTTGTTCATGTTAGTTCACAGTGCATTAACTAATATTAACAAGATTTTAATAAAGTATTACTAAATGTGGAAATTAACATTGACAAACATGAACAAATGCTGCATAAGTGCAGTTCATTATTAGTTAATGTTAATTAATGTTAATGTTAATTAATGAACCTTATTGTAAAGTGTTACCCAAAAAAATCTAAATCTTACCAAATACTTCTTATGTCTAGTCAAAATGTCTCATTTCTAAATGTCTAATTTCTAAAACAAATCTATTTGCCCTCAAAATATAAAGTAAATGCTTGAAAAATTACTTCACTTGCCTAAAATTACCTAAATGTCTTTTTATGGTGATGATCTGATTTAGCTAGTGTTTGCTAGCTACTTAGCTTGTAGCAAAAAAATGTGATTTCAAGTTTAAATACAGTTTATAATCCCTTTGATTTACTGAAATTACATTTAGTGTCTAGAAAATTTAAGAAATATGAACTCTTACCAGATGAAAACGAATCAAACAGAAGAGCTAATACATCACTTCTGGACATCTGTCTTTCCACGTTTTTTGCCATTTTGTTTGTATCAAAACTGCCTAAGTCAAAGAGATGACTAAGGCAGGTAGTGTTTTTGGATCCTAATAAGTGTTGTGATTGGCTAAGGACATTGGCAGAAATGCAGGATGATGCAGCAGTGGAAGGACAGTAAAGATAGGCAGATATCACAATTTGGCAAAAAAATGACTTAGGCAATTATGCTATGAGGCTAACGATATGTAGATAGATAAATAGATAGATAGATAGATAGATAGATAGATAGATAGATAGATAGATAGATAGATAGATAGATAGATAGATAGATAGATAGATAGATAGATAGATAGATAGATAGATAGAGACACACACACATACAGTACACACATATGATAACAGCTGATTTTTCCTGGAAGTTTTTTGTTTTTTAAATCATTTTTTTGTTGTTGTTGCATAAAATAAAACTTGTAGATGTGTTTTTTTGGCAAATAATTTATATTTAATACATACATATAATAAATAAATAATAAAAATATACAGACACCATTTTTGTCCTATATATATATATATATATATATATAGTATATATATATATATATATAATCCAGTGAATTAAAAACTTTAAAGGAAACTTGAAAGGAACTTCTCGTTTGATTAATTTCTAGTGATCTTGATGCATGCAAACCAAAAAATGATTCATAACAAATGAGTGATCACCCTAAGATCAGTGCAAAAACAGCTTCAAATTATGAATGAAGTGGTCAATTATATATTTTCTTTTGCACAAACAAAGCACTCAAGTTAAACCACTGGAGTCACATGGATAATTAATGACAGATTTAAAATTTTTGGGTAAAATAACAATTTAGCCCTCAAACCGTATTCACTTTACAGCCCTTAATCCTGTAATTGTGGACAAATGTGGGCACAGAGGACTCAGGTGTGATCCTGATTTTTATTTATTAGAAATGTTAGATCACTGTCTTCGATAAAGTTTTGTCTATCCATTTTTGATGTTTTTTTTTTATTTTGGGGGTAATTTTGAATTTATTTACTTCAAAAAGTGCCATATTTTTTATGTAAATTATGCTTATTTTTATGTTTTATTTTTTAATTTTTTTAACTACATTAAAATATCATTCCAATAAGTTCTTAGAGCTAAAACCTAAAGATGAAGTGACTTTGCTGTCACCTGGTGTCTTATTTTGGTTTATTTAGAATGCTCTAAATTACAGGTTTTTTTCACCCTCTTATCATTGTAGAATTGAGTCAAAAAAAAAATAATTGTTTGTGTTCAGGAAGCAAACTTAGGAAAAGTAACCAAGTCTTGTACCGCTCAGATCAAGGGATGTATTTTTTTTTTTAAATAAATCAAAACTACTTTGCCCACATTTGTCCAGAATACGGTTTTGGGGTTAAGCGTAGGGTGAATTCAGAGTGATTGCCATTGAGATGACTTGGAAAAAGTCATTCTCAATCAAGCTGAATTCACCCTATCTATGGCAGACTGGTGGGAGTGGCCTTGGGTAGCGACATGCCCAGTGCATTGTGGGTTTTGAAGGTTTGATTGGCGAGAGCAAAGACAACAGTGTTTTCTCTAGTCAGGTAGCACTGATTTCAAAAATGTATTTTGCCTTTCTGCTCCATAGGATAGTTTTATTGAAAACCCATTTTGCCAGCAGTGAAGGACCCCTTTGCTGTCATTTAAAAATATTTTTTCATGTCATTTGCATCCGAAGTAACTGAATCTTGATTTAAGAAATTTTTATATTTCTACTGGAAAACAAAAATATATATATACTAAAGAATTTTTTTTTTGCAGTGTGTGTGTGCGTGTTGGTGTTTTAGCTCTGGTTTTGTTCACACCACTCGTTTGCCGTTTGTGTTCTAGAATTTCATTTAGAACGGACACCCCTCCTGACTTCCTCTCACCCCCAAGAGATCACAGGTTAGTTCTCATCTGACTTCACACACACAGCGAAACGCAAAAAGAAACTCCAAACATGGGTCTGAAAGGAACATACCCTCAGAACATTCCACTGTCATCTGAAGGAATTGTGTCTTTCTGTCCTTCAGCCATTCCACTGACTGCCTATGGACCAATGGCAGCGGCCGCAGCTGCAGCGGTCGTCAGAGGTGCGCAAAATCAGCTCTATTATGGTTGTTGTATGATCTTTTTCTTTCACATTTTGAGATTTGTTAAACTCTTTCCACTTGTAAAGTACCTTCCGAGCGTTTGAGACATCTGTCTGTTGTCTGTTGCCGTAGGTTCCACCCCGTCACGCGCCGCTGGGTTCCTGGGCACCAGCAGCCCTGGGCCAATGGCAGACCTTTATGCAGCAGCCAATCAGGACTCAGTCAGCAGCTACATCAGTGCAGCAAGCCCTGCCCCCAGCACGGGGTTCGGACATGGACTCGGGGTTGGTACAGTCAGGCACATACACAAACATTTATTAATCTAACTTTACGGTCAAAAAGGACACAAGCATCATAAAAGTAGTTTCTTGTAACTTGAGCTGCATATTCTAAGACTTCTGAAATATTTGATTAATTTATGTGGCCCGTTAAAAGTGCATTATTATTTACTTTGACAACTATTTTATTGTTATTGCATTTTATTATTTGCATTTATCATTGTTTTTGCCCTGCTATTAAGTTTATTTAAATACCAATGTAGTATTTTAATATATATATTTTTTTCAAATAATATTTAAATTTTAGTTTAAGTTTTAGTCAGCTCGCATATGTGCTTTTGTCATTTTTATTAGTTTAAAAAATATATATTTCTGTTTAGCATTAATTTATTTTAATTTCACTTAAACTTATTAGCTAAACTTAGATGTGATTTTTTTTTTACTTGAAACAAAATAGATGTTAACTAAAATCAAATAAAATATTTGTAATATTTTTATTTCAGCTAGTTGCAGAAAGATTTCTCATTTCATTTAGTACTTGATGTACTAAAATAAATAAAACTGAAATAAAAATGTGTAAAAAAAAATACACTATTTATAAAATTACTAAAAATTGTATCTAAAATCGAAATTAAACTATCAATACAAAATATAATAATCTTAATGACACTAAAATATCACTGAACACCCCTGATAAGAACAGACCCGTCATCCAACACATTTTGTGCAGAAGAACTACAAAATGTGATGAGGAATGTCTTGCCACAAAAACACTGGGTTCAATACAAATATTAGAAGTAAATAATATTTTTAACAAATATTAGGAGTAAAAATACAACTTTTAGAAGCAATTAACGTGTTATATCCGGTCGAATGCATTATCGACTACCTCTGGAAGTGTGAACGAGCTCAGACCCCGTTTACACCTGCATTTAACGTCATCCACTTATCGACCAAAAACGCATCTCAATACCAGGTGTGAACAGGGCCAACGAGTTTTATATTGTACCAGAACATTCCTTTAAAATCCCTCTTTCTCTCCTCCAGGGTCCTTTGATCGCAACTGCCTTCACCAATGGCTACCACTGAGGTGTCCCGTCAGCATCCGGCACGGGATGAAGAAACTCGCGAGCGCCGCTGACCACGTGACGTGCTTACAGGACGCTCCCTCATGACTCCACTCTGGGGTTCCCATCTTTCTTTTCCCTCCATTCTCTACTAACATCACTTTTCTTTTTCCTCATCCCGTATTTTTCTTCCTGACGTGCATCCTGTTTATCAGCGACTCGTGTATGACATGCTGCCGTCTGTCTTTTGAAAGAAAAAAAAATGAAGAAAAAAAAAAACATTGTTTGATTGTATACGTGCGGAAACACGCGAGGAATTCCGTTTCTCCGGATTTTTATTTTGACGAGTCTTTGCTGACTGTGTTTTGAAGTTTTTACTGTACTCATGCTGTAACGGATGATGTCGAGAAAGACCGAGAAAGAGAGAGGAGGAGCAACGCAACTGGAAAAAAAAGTTCAGGATTTGTCTTCCTTGATGTTTATTAAGCATTACAAATCTAAACCACACCGAACAAAGACATGAGAATGAATCAAATTTACAAAAAAAAAAAACAAAACGACAGGACAAAAAAATGTATATTTTGGTAGTTTTTACACAGCATTTGTAATGTTGTAAGCTGAATCGGTTTGATGTTTTTTCCGTAAAATTGGTTTTATATGAGAAGCGATGGGCCTCGTTTACGAATTTCCTGCGTGAATCATTGGTTAAACCATTCTACATGTTCAGATTTACACGGGAGGCTCATTGTTCAGCTTCTTTTTGTAGATACTGTATATATTGCATGTATTTTGGGAGGGTTCAGGTGGGGGGGTGCGGGTCCTTTCTGGGTTTTTAACATGCAAACGTCTTTCTTCACATTGAATCTTGTATTTCTGAGATCAGCGTCGCACTGATGTGGGTCTCTGGTTGTGCTTCTCTCACTTTCGACTCCATTTATACTGACAATTTCTCTTAAGATAAATGTTTTGGGCTCTTTCGGTTGCACAAAGTGCTTCAGTTTTCGAGGTTTTTGCATGAATTCGAAAGCCACGTTTCTAATGTTTGCCGTCACGTACGAGGCGTCGAACCACATCCCTGAAAAACCAGGTTTGGTTTTCCAAAAAGAGCAAACGATTCGCTCCCATTTTTCGGGAAGAGGAACGTAACCAGTTTAGTAGCCTCAATCGGAAGGGCACGGCTGCTAGGCTTCTTCATGCTGTTTTTGGAAATATATATTATATATATAATTTTGTTGCGCGGTGTACTTCTTTCAGTGTACTTTCCCTCTCCTTTCTCTTTGTTTTTTTGACGGTACACTGCTGTTTTTAATGAAATGAAGGACACATTTACAAAGCAAAGGAGTCTGAGCGCTGTTACATCTCCGGTTCTATCCTGTCGTGGTTGTGTGTGTGTGTGTGTTTGAGACGGAGAGAGTGTGTGTGCACACAGCGTAGACTGAAGTATGGATGTACACGTAGATAGTTTACATGCATTCAACTGCCACCTTTGAAACTGTCTCGTCTCTGCCGGTAACGGAGGAGGACGTCTGTGACATCACGGCTCTAACGGAGGAAAAATGCATTAATAATGTGCATCCAGAGTGATTTAAAGGAGTTGTTCACTTTTGCTGATAATTTACTCACCCCCATGTCATCCAAGATGTCCATGTCGTTCTTTCTTCAGTCGAAAAGAAATGAACGAATCTTTTTTCGAGTCATTTGGTTCATTTGGTTCGTTGACTCGAAAAAAGATTCGTTCATTTTGAATAGGAGAGTCACGAACGCGCATCACAGAACAGAGCAAGGCGAGCATTTGTGCTTATAAAACGTATTTTTTTACATTTTATTTTTGAAATGGCCGATCGTTTCGCTTGATAAGACCCTTATTCATCGTCTTGAATCGTTTAAAGCCCTTTGAACAGTTTGCAGTTTGCACTGAAACTGTCTTTTGGACCTTGAACCGTTTGGTTCCCATTGAAGTCCATTATATGGAGAAAATCCTGGAATGTTTTCATCAAAAACCTTAATTTCGTTTCGACTGAAGAAAGAAAAACATGGACATCTTGGGTGACATTGGGGTGAGTAAATTATCAGCAAAAGTTCTTTTAAAAGTGAACTACTCCTTTAAATTGGCAACATTGGATTTGATCATTGATTTTTACCAATTGGCAATAATACTGAGTCTTCCGTTTGACATGTGTAGCCTCTTTTTGGAGCAGTGGTCACTGTGACGATCCGGATACTCCAGCTGACAGGGACGCCTCACAAAACTACTGCACGGCACACACTGTAACTATTTAACCAACAAAAAGCAATAAGTTATTTTTAAAACTCAAGTAATAATGAACGCCGTTAGCGGTGGTACGAATACGGCGGCGATTATGTGGCATTAAGAATTATTTTTCAGAAAAAGAAGTTCTATTTTTCAAGATCCGTTTTAACCCCTGAGATTTTTACACTACATGTTTTGTTTGGATGATTTGTAAAAGGGGCGGGGCTTGGGGATCAGCAGCAGAACTGGAAAGCAACACTGTGACCTGATGCTCGATTACGCTGCTCCGCTGGCCCTTTACTGTATTTTTTTAATTTTCACCTCTGGAAATTTTCAAATAAAAAGATCCTAATAAATTATTTTAAAACATTCCATTTGATGGCGTCTGTATTCACGTTTTTCTTTGTGGATTATTTCGCAGAGGTTGTCATGTTTTGGTCGTATGCAGAATGGATTGTGCTCTTATGAATTTTGTAAAACATCAAAATCAAAAACATTATGAATTTTGTAAAACAATCTAAAACATCATGTTTACAGTTGAATAGTGGATGTAGTTTTTCACAACACTCGTATAATGAGTTTCATTATATGTTCCATTTATTCTAAAATATTGTAAATCCTGAACATATACTAACAATATTATTATTTATTATATAACAAAATTTAGGAATTATTGTGGGAAAAAAAAACATTTTTGGATGCTTTTCCTTAACTATCCAGTCCAAAAATTAAAAATATTGTTGATCTCTATTCATCTGAGGATTTTTTGAAATATTATACAACAACAAAAATATTTCAAAGTACATTTTGGTTGTTGTTATAGTAACAGAACATAAACAAAAATGTGTTCACAGTCATAATATATATATATATATATATATATATATTAGGGCTGTGCAAAGATTAATTCCGATTATTCCAAAATAAAAGTTTGTGTTTACACAATATATTTTTGTGTGCTGTGTATAATTATGTTGTATATATTAATACACACACATGCATGTATATATTTAGAAAAATGTGTTTAATATATTAAATATGTATATTTATATATAATAATGATTATGTGATAACTATCATATATTTAACTATCATATATGTAACTATCATATATAAATATATTAATTATGGCTGTGAATACATTTTTATGTTCATGTTCTGTTACTATTACAACTTAAATGTATTTTTAAATATTTTGTTGTATAATATTCTATAAAAACATTTTAGAATATTAGTAAAGTCATCAAAATTAAAGAATTATTAATATGATGTTATACAATGTTATACAATACAATTAATACAATGTTGAAATCCTTGAAATGCATACTTGAATGCACACACTGCATTCAGAAATCCCCCCCCCCCAAAAAAAAAAAAAATATATATATATAATTATTATTTCAAAATATTAGGAAAGTCATCATAATTAAGGATTTATTAATAAAATGTTGGCTGCTTTTCCCAAACGACTAGTTCAATTCCATTCCATTTCATAAATAAATAGTGTCCAAACCTTTAAGTTCTAGTCTATAAATTATAAATATCTTTTAACATTTGTTGTGACTATTCAACTTCTGTACAGCTTTTGAAATACAGTTTTTATACAAATTAGCAGGATCATACAAAGCACTAAAATTCTGAATCATACCACATTTTTATGGTGTTTGTGACTCATTTTCAATGAAACTAGAAAGGTAGATATTTCACATTGCCAAAATGCTCTAACATGTCAGCCAAAAACGTTTGTGGTTTCTCAGCTGGTTTAACATTCACAGTAGATTTCAACCATTTCATAACTATGGGATCTAATCTAAATGCTCAGCATTGTCCTTTTCAGCTCGAGTTGTTGTCCAATTTGTCATAAGCAATCAAGTGAGACGCCATCCAAAATGTCGAGGCATGGGAACAGACGTGTGTGAGCTGCCCCCTCCTGCTCTGATATGTCCATCTCTGTCCCATAACACACACCTGATACCCTGTGACCCCAATACCACCCGCCCACCCATGCGGAACTGCACACACACACAAACACACACACCAGTTTCATCACCATTTCTGCATTTGACCCTATTAGTTTACTTTGACGGGTCATTTTACAGATTGATTTGCTAATCTATTAGAGAGAAATGTTGTCACAACCGTGGAAAATCGGAGAATAACACACACATTTTGCTGACCTAGAATCTGTCCATGGGAAAGCGTTGCCCATATTTTTGTCTCATCTCCCCTGCGATCCCATTACTCACAGGTTCCTCTTGCCCAAACACCCTCCCACCCAAAACACTCCTCATTTCATCTTGATTCCTGACAGCCCACACACAGCTCTGCTGGATTTATTCCTCTGTTAACTCAGTTTTAAACCCCTTTCTCTGTAAAAGTCGTTTTTTGGTGGACATTTGCCCGTTGTCAGGAGTGTTGGCCTGCCATCATGGCTCCGGCCGGCTCACAGACGGATGTGAAAGGCTCTCTGAATGGGAGTATGGATTTGTATAACCACTGGTTCGGTCCGACGACCCCGCGACCTCCTCTACGAAATTACCTGGTCCTGACCATCCTCACCTGCTTCTGTCCTGCTTACCCCGTCAACATCCTAGCCCTGGTGTTCTCCGTCATGGTGAGTTCACCGTCAGGTCCTGCTGGACTCGTATTTATGTCTTTACATTGCTTTAACTCATCAAAATAAGTTAAGACATTTACAAGTTATGCAAGATTCAACTCATTTTATAAGCCAGTTTAATGTCATGACATTAAACTGGCTTCGAGACTGGCTTATAAACATTTAAGTTGAAATGACCTGTTGAAATGTTAACTCAAGAAAACTTAAAGTTGAAATGACTTAAATATTGTTTAAGTTGAAATGACTTAAGTTGAAAAGTTAAGAAAACTTTGTTGAAATGACTTGAGTATTATTTAAGTTGAAATGACTTATGTTGAAAAGTTAACTTAAGAAAACTTAGTTGAAATGACTTAAGTTGAAAAGTTAAGTTAGTTAAAATGATTTAAGTATTATTTAAGTTGAAATGACTTAAGTTGAAAAGTTAAGTTAAGAAAACTTAGTTAAAATGATATAAGTATTAAGTTCAAATGACTTAAGTTAAAAGGTTAAGTAAAATTAAAATGATTTAAGTATTATTTAAGTTGAAATGACTTAAGTTGGAAAGTCAACTTAAGAAAACTCAGTTTTTAAAACTTTTCAATTCAAGTCATTTTTAAACACTTAAATAATACTTAAATCATTTTAACTTTAAGTTTTCTTAACTTTTCAATTTAAGTTAAAATGACTTGTTGAAAAGTTAACTTAAGAAAACTTAAATATGAAATGACTTAGTATCATTTAAGTTGAAATGAGTTGATTGTACTCAAAAATGTACTGCAGCAACTTTTTTATATTGATAGTTCATTTAGTGTCAAGTCAAATATTACCATCATCATTGATCACACTTAATAACTCGTAATGACTCTAAATATTAAACTTGTATGCTTAACTCATTATTATCTCTTTGAGTTATTATTTTTTAAATGCTGGGGTTTGTCAAGGATATGTTTGCTTGTTGATTACTTGTTTAAGGAATCAGACGATTGAATAACAGAGGATAAAATAGGCAAAAAACGAAATGTCCCAAACATTTTTCTATTTAAAAGGGCCCATCCTTATCTAAAAAAGCAGAATATCACAGAGATGTAAGTGTTAGGCCAGGGTTTCTAAAGAAGAAGCTGTAGTTTTTTGGATGTTTATTATCCTAACCCTAACACATATTATCAAATATTAATATTGTAGTAAACTGTGTGTACATGAAACTAAAAACTAGAATTAGGATCATTTTGTGTTTGCTGCGGCTGTTATGAGTTGGCAAATTCAAAAACATAAATCTCAAAGGGAAAAACTTGTGTCGCTGAAGTGTAATGTATCTTCTCTCTTTTATAGTCCAGAAACAGTTATGATCAGGGAGATTATGATGGATCGAGGCGTTTAGGGAAGATGGCGCTCTACGTGTCGATCGCCTCCATCATCATCGGCATCCTCATCATCACCATCTTCTGCGCTGTGCATTTCAGCACGGTAACACACTGTTAACACTACACACACTTTCACATACTGTATACAGTGCTGTCAATCCCATTAATCACATCTCATAGAAAACTTTGTATATATATATATATATATATATATATTAGATATCCCATATATTTCATTAAAAATTATAGTATAATTTAAAAAAAATTTTTTTTCCTAATTTATAAAAAAAAAACCATTAAAAGTATAGTTCACCCAAAAAATGAAAATTATATCATTATTAACTCACCCTCATGAACTACACTTTTAAAAGTTTTTGTACTTTTTGTCTGGGATAATTTCTCATCCAAGTTTGATGTGTGATTAATTAATCTAATTTAGTAAAAATGGTAATCGCTTGACAACCCAATTGATGAAATGTAAAAGAATGAACCTGTATGCTATAGTAACAGATTTTAAAAATCATTATTTTTGGACTCTTTAGAAACACGTTTAAGATGCCGGTGTTTCTGGAGGAAGGACGTCCACTGGGTCAGCGCTTTTGATAAACTCAACCGAGGGTTTATAAAACCAAGACCAGGACAGACTCAGACCGACACCACTTCTCATCCGTCTGCATGAGTATGCTTATACAATATCAAAAGAGAGAGGTAGATGGCAGGGCTTTTTTTTACAGACAATTTTACAGACAATCACATTCAATGTATGCACCTTTAAATCACTTAATACAATCAATGCATCCACGCACATGCTGAATATGTACATAATTTTGTAACCTATGCATGTCTATTCTTTTTCAAATTAATTTTTGTGCCGTTGAAATAGGGCTGAATGTGTCTGCGAAACATGGTTAATAATGACACTAACCAGTAAATATGATTAGAGCGCATCACACTGTTTACAGTCTTCAAGTCTTAACTGGTCCTATAAAACTAATCACTGGACATGGCCATACTGAATATGTAAATATGAATCATTTTTGGTGCTTAGTGTTTTCCTCTGCAAGTAGATCATGAAAAAAATGATAAAGGTCTTCATTTTTATAATAACTTTTGGATTTTTTTTTAAAGTGATTATGTATTTATGTGTTGTCAAATGTTTTAGAATTTAAAGGACACTAATTTGGAATTAAATGTTTGTACTAATAAAATAATAAACTGCATTTATAAAGCACCATTCATCCAACTAGCTCATTGTGTTTTTAAAGACTTTAAAGTTGAAATTAGAAATTGTTTCACCGAATGTAACTGCAAAACTAACCAATATTTTCCCAGAGTAATCACAATAATAATAATAATAAAGTAGTACTTTCTTTGTGAAAGCTCAAAAAATATGTTCTATATAGTAGGAATGTGTAAGTGAACAAGAGATTTAAAGTTATAATTACATTTAAATAAAACCATATTTATGTAATTTAATAAAAAGTCATAACTTGCTCTTTTAAAAGCCAATCCATTCATCACTGTTCAAAAATCCACCCATATATTTATATTTTTTAAACTTAATTTTACTCAGAAACACATATTATGAAAGTAAAATGAGGTTTCACATTGACTTTTTTAAGTTATAGATATGTGTGAACCAGTGTTGGGTAAGTTACTCTAAAAAAGTAATTAATTACTAGTTACTAATTACCTCTTCAACAGTGTAATTAGATTACTGTACTAATTACTCTCTTTAAAAAAGTATTTAATTAATTTTAATTACTTTCAAAATCCCATATCAATCTCAACCAGCTGAATGATACAAGGATAGATATGAATCTGTTTTAATTCTTTCAAATAAATACTATAAAATTGCATGAATTATCCTTAAACTGACCAAGGTGGAGAAGGTTACATCATAAAAACATACTTTTTAACATCAGACAATACATTTTGATGTTAAACCCACTATTGTTTTATATCTGATCTCATGACATTTCACACTTTTTTCATACATATTTTACAATAATTCATACGAATTTGTACGAGTGCGATCGTAATATTTAGACACCTCATAGAACGCATACGAATCGCTGTGAGATCGGATTGATCCATACACAGTATTTACCTCAATTACATCAGAAGTAACTGTAATTAAATTACAGATAAATGAAGAGTAATCCCTTACTTTACATTTTCAATGGAAAAGTAATTAAATTACAGTAACTAATTACTTAGTATTTAGTTACACCCAACACTGGTGTGAACTGGAAATGATAGGAGGATGTTTCCCCCTCCCCGACCCGCTTCATCTTGATGATGTATTTGGATATGTGCTATATATAGTGTTGTGTCTCAATCCCACGGCGGTGTCAGCGGCCTCTTGTTATCCAGTGTGTTCTGGCCAGCGGGGTCACATGACACGGGATAGCTGGATCAGCACTGTGCCGAAACACACCACGCTCCCACAGAAACACCTCAGCCCAGTCAACAGAAGCCAAATGTGTTATGGGACATGAGTCCAACACTCATTAGATTATATGTTTTTATTCTTAATATTAGAATTAATAAGTAACAACAAATAAATATGACACTATTTTCTTTCTTGACAATTAAGTCTGTTTTTTAGCATTATAATAATTAAATTTTAAAAGTACAATATGATTTCTGACTGTACAATGTTTTTTTTTTATTTGTAATTAATCAGATTATTGGAGCAAGACAATATTATTTCAGCCGTTTAAGAGTTGATTGCCGTTTCTTTTTAATTATTTGTGAAATTGGCTCGCAATCTCGAGGAGGAAAGAAGTAAATCCTTCATTTGTTTCCTAGTGTGCTTGACACAGTCAACTACATTTGGTCTAGTTTCTTATTTCATGTAACACTTGTAAAATATAAAAATAACAAATATTAAAAAGGTTCAATGATGTTCTAAATAGAACCCAATTTCAAAGTTGCCAAAAAGGTTCTATATGAGAAATGTCTTATATTATTGCATAATACTTTCACGTTTAACAGGTTATTTCTTTTTTCCTAGTGATTAAGTTGTTTACGAGCTGCTTAATTCGTTCAATTTAATTGATCCCATTAGAAACCCCTAAATGTTCTATGAAATAAATCAAGAAAGTGAGTTTGAGTTTATGAAAATGTACAATGTAAAAAAAAAAAATAATTATTCATATTTTATTTAAAATATGTATTTTCAAAACATGGGCGACCAACTAAAATGAATAAATAAATAATAATAAAAAAAAAATAATTTGAAAAATTTCATACAATTTATGAAGTAGACATCCTATTCAGAAGTAATATGAGAAGTTTTTGATATGAATTCAACCTCTAAGAAACAAAAAAGGAACAAGTATTTGTGGTAGCCTGTGTTTATTCACAAATGGTGGATCCATCATTTTTTTTATTTATATTTAAAAAAAAAATCAGATCTTTTTTTCTAAAATAATTGAATGGATGCTATCGTTTGAGCTTTTGGAATGAAAACAAACTAAGGTTTCTACAATGTAAAAAAAAATATTGTTGTTTTAACTTAAAAAAAATAGTAACCTGGTTGCTTTAAAATTGTAAGCTCATTGAACTGGAAAAATTGAGTTAATACAATGAAGGAGATTGATTTAAGCATCAGAAACTCAAAATATTATGTTATCTTAACTACATAAATTATTTAAGTTGACTTGACAAAAGTAAAAATGTTATGATTACAAATCATGAAAATATTTTTTTACAGTTTCTTACATGATTCTTCGTGTTCATCACTATTTCAAAATAAAGGTCTGAACACGCCTTTGGAGTATGAAAATATTCTTGGTGCAAATTGATAAATTACGGCTCCTCTGTAATTTATTTTGAAAATCAATCTTTTTTTTTTTTTATTTGGGCCCACCGGTGGCACTTTAAGATTCTAAATAGTACCTTTTTTCTAAGAGTGTAGAATTTGCGTGTCTGGAAGTCAAAAAGCCGGTGCAGAAAGTCGGTCAGCTTTTACCAGCTGCTGTCAGCAAACAACTAATAATCATCTCAACTTCTCATGCACATTTGCCTTGAGGCCAGAGCAACATGATCCAGTTGAACACTCCCGGGGTCAGATGGCGCGTTGTGAGCCGGCCGTTCTTTAGATGGACAGACTGATGTTTCCTTTCCATCCTTCAGTAAACACAGCACAGAAAGACGAGACCTCTTCCTGGCCAGTTTCAAATCATTTACATCGAAAACATTGCATTGCATACTTGAATGCACACACTGCATTCATTAGTTAATAATGCATTCTCGAGGAATCAAACGCATTACCTTGCCAAACTAAAATAAATAAATACAAATAATCTAAGATCATGTTATATTGTGTGTTGCAGGGTCCATTTTGCAAGATGTAAACAACACTGGTCCAGAAGCACTTCCTGTTTCAGTTTTTTAACACTACATAAAAGCTGGGATAAAATACAACCAACAGAACATATAAAACTGAATCAAAAAGTTAAACAAACATCTTTAAGATGTTTTCTTTACATGTGAAATAAAGAAAACAGTTACAAACTGAAACAGGATGTGTTTCTGGACCAGTGCTGTTTACATCTTGCAAAAGGTCCATCCTGAAGTTTTCAAATGCTTCTGAATGTCTCCCCCTGGTGCTGACATATTTAAAAACCATCCAATGATCACTCATAAAACAGGGGCAATCCATACATCAGTTTAAGTTTTTATTGCTGATTTTTTTTTAATTAACAATAACAAAAAATCTTTTAATAAGACTAAAAACAATATTGTTTTTCTAGTTGTCACTGTGATGTTCTCTGGTGTGTGGGGAAGATCATTTCCAAAATCTGTAAGCCTCGGCCCTCAGGGTGATTCAAAAAATGAGCTATAAAGTCAAACAAAATACATTTGTCATTAACTTCACATATTTTGAAGCATGTATACATTAACTTATAGGCAATGTGTTATTATGGCCTTAAAGGGATAGTTCACCCAAAAATGAAAATTCTGTTATTAATTACTCCCCCACAATCTGAGAGCTTTCTATCCCTCCATTGAGCACCTACTACTTTGATGCTTCAAAAGTTGTTGAATATAATCCATATGAATTGACCGATTTAGTCCAATCGCTTTATATGATGAACAGATTTAATTCAGACTTTTATTCACATTTAAACATTAATCAGTGAACATAAAAGAGAAGCTCTACCGAACCTGCTCGACTCTCGAGAGCAAACCTCATTGGTTCTTGCTGAAGCTCAAACGGATTCAAATGAATTAGTTATGATCTCTTTATGAACTTTTTGAAGTGTCAAAGTGATAGTAGTGTATAACTTTCAGTGGAGGGACAGAAAGCTCTTAAAGGATTAGTTCACTTTTGAAAAAACTTTTGCTGATAATTTACTCACCCCCATGTCATCCAAGATGTCCATGTCTTTCTTTCTTCAGTCGAAAAGAAATTAAGGTTTTTGATGAAAACATTCCAGGATTTTTCTCCATATAATGGACTTCAATGGGAACCGGATGGTTCAAGGTCCAAAAGACAGAGTGTAATAACAGTTTCAGATGCAGCTTCAAATGTCTTTAAACGATATCAGACGATGAATAAGGGTCTTATCATGCGAAACGATCGGTTATTTCAATACTTATTCCAAAAATGTAACTTTTCTAAGGACAAATGCTAGCCTTGCTCTATTCTCTGAGGCGCGTTTGTAACGTCACGTAATAAGCAATTACGTTCAAAAGGTCACGGGCGACGTAGCCGGAAGTATGTATGTATGATAAGATGAAATTCTGAAAGCTTATGTAATGTAAATCAATGAGCATAACAGTATAGTAGACTTAAATATCTCCCATTAATTTGTCTTAAGATTATATTTAATTAATGTGTTTTATTGTGCCGGCAAAAAATATAATGCATGCAACAATGATGAGAGATGAACAAATAGTACATGACTTTTCAAGATGATGTATGGATAATAAAGTAAACCAACGTTGCTTCAGTCCAGCAAGTGTTCATCTTAAAATGCTAAAAACAATATTTAGGTTATTCTTATCTTTACTTTATAAAAATCAGTGCAGATTTCACAGCAGAAGCATATAAAATTCGCAATTCTGCGAGATATAAATTCGCAATTGCATCATGTTATAAAGTGAGAAATGCATGATATAAAAGTCGAAATTGCGTGTTGAAAAGTCAGAATTGTGAGATATAAACTATTCTGAGGGGAAAAAGTCAGTGGTGGAATGTAACGAAGTACAAATACTTAGTTACTTTACTTAAGTACATTTTTCACGTATCTTTACTTTACTAAAGTACAATAAATAGTGCCTACTTTTTACTTTTACTTCGTTACATTTTGCAGCAATTATTCTACTTTCTACTCCACTACATTTCTACAACTTCTGTTACATTTTCGTTACATTTTCTGATTAGTTTTTCCCCTGCCAAAACGTAATCTGACCGTCCGTTCGTTGCACCTTTGTCTCACCAGTGACGTTTGGTTGCCATAGATACAGTATATCAATCCGGTCACACTAAATGCGTCTCACACGGAGTGTGTTTATCATGCAACTCATACGCGAAAATTTGTTTTTACGTGCATAGGAAACACACCGTGTGTAATATATGTTTGGTTTGGTTAGGATTATGGCAAGCCAAGAGGTTCAGAATTACACCATAAATGAATCGCGTTTACTGCCAAACATAGTTATTAACATATAGTAAGGATAAGCATGATATTGCCTAATTGCAAGCTTGTTTCAGAAATGGTGACATTTTTTTCCCCATCATTATTGAACATCATTATAGGAGTAGGCTATTAGGTTGAATGAGTTAGAATTAAATGTTTTATTAATCATTAGAAAATAGACATTAAGATAATGAATTGTTATGCAAGTACTTTTACTTTTAATACTTAAAGTACATTTAAAATAAAGTACTTTTTACTTTTTACTTAAGTATGGTTGTCATTGTGTTACTTCTACTTTTACTAAAGTAAATATTTATCTGGGTATTTGTAGTTTTACTTAAGTACTTAGATTCAGTACTTCCTCCACCACTGGAAAAAGTTTAGTCTTTTTTAGTTAGTCTCGCAATTGGCTTTATGCCCAGCTGCACTACTTCCTGAACTTCAGCCAGCTCCTTGTTTCCTGTCTGCCATTATTGGCCAAATTGATTAATTCAGGTGTGTCTGATTATTGTTGCCATGACTACTGAGGTCAGGTACACCTGAATTAATCAATTTGGCCAATAATGGCAGACAGGAAACAAGGAGCTGGCTGATGTTCAGGAAGTAGTGCAGCTGGGCATAAAGCCAATTGCGAGTTTAACGGCCATCTCACAATTCTGAGAAAAGATGTCAGAATTTCAATAAAACTCGATAAAACTCGCAATTATGTGTTATAAAGTCAGAATTGCGAGATGTAGGCTAAACTCGCAATTGTGAGAAAAAAGTCTCACAATTGCGACTTTATTTCTCATAATTGCGACTTTATATCTCGCAATTGCGACTTAGAATTGTGACTTATTTCTCACAATTCTGACTTCATATCTTGCATCTATCTTTTATTCAGTGGCGGAAACAAGCTTCCATAGCCTACTAATAGGCTAAACCTTGTAAAGAGTTATCAAAATATAATACAGTAGGCTTTATAGTTAATAAGGAAATTATTAATTAGTTAATTATTTTTAAGTTTAATCTCAATACAGATTTTAAAAGGATTATCAAAACATAATAATACAATTATTGTGGTAGCATCTACAATGGAAGACAATCGATTTATTTATGGATAATAAGTAATTTAATATTTCCTTCCTGTATTCCTGTCACGTGTGTGTGCCTAATTCGCAAAACTAAACTCAGGAGATCGTTGGAGATCTAAACATCGACGAAAGGTACAGAAAGAATATCAGGGCTTAAATAAAAGGAACCAACAAACAAAGGGAACCAGGTGAACACGTGAACAGAATATAAAAAACATAACAACAAACTATAGCGAGAATGAGGAACCAGGGGAACTATGAACATTCACTAAAACATTTTTAAGGTTCTGTCTTCTTCAGGGCAGAAAGTAGCAGTTTATCAGTGAAGATGTTTATCATAAAAGTATTGTGAGTTGCTATAAACTACAGTTGAAATGCAACGCTTAAAACTGCGAAAATAATATAGGCCTACTTTTTGTCTGTGAAAGGATTAGATGGTGTGTGTGTTAATCAGAAGAGATTATCATGTTGTTAAAAGTTTACTTGAGGTCATGTGACTCTAAATGGTAGCAACACATGCCGTTTTGTTTTGTCATGTAAATTTTGAGACACTCGGGTTTGTTCTCACTTGTTACTGACCCTTTAAAATAAAGGTCGTTGGTTTAGCATAGGCTATGTGTCATATCCGGACTTGGGTGATTTGAAATATAAAATAGGCTAAACAAATCTGAGTTTTTGTTGTTTTCCACTTTACCAAAAGATATGCTCTGTTTAGGTCTATTTATGGAATATAATGGAAGATGCCAATGTTTACCTCCTGCTGAAACACGTGGGGAGAAAGAGAGATTACCGCATTTACGTCATAAAAACAGAACAAATGAAAAGAATGGCAAAACAGTGAAACGGAGGGCGGGGCGTGGAGTCCAACAAGTTGTCTCTGATTGGTCAGAAACGATTATTATGCTCTTTTATATATCGTCCAGTTATTTTAAATACAATATCTATTTATTATTTTCAGTGTCACTGTTCAGGTGTCCACTAAACGATTAGATCGCATTCTGCATGGTCATCATATAGGCTAAATATCTAATTTACTGTCTGATTTGGCCCCATTATTTACTCATTATTATTCACTATATGCTTTAAATCAAAATAAAGAAACTAATTAATAAAAGCAATAAAAAAACGTGTGTTTTGAATGTGATTCAATAGAGGTTTCTGTTTTATGAGCCATTGAGCGCCCCCTGGTGGAAAGATGGTAAACGTCCTCTAAGAAACGGTGATCATCAGCGAGCATTAGCCACTCAAACACACCCACAAAAGTGAGTGTTGTCAACAAACGAAGAGGACTGTTAAACACGGGAAAAGAAAGCCGATTGGAGCTGAAGTCTGTGCATCTCTTGAACTCTTCTGTCCCATCATGTCTCTGTCAGGATCTCAAACACCGGACGATGCTCTGCACGGTAAGACTGCATATTTACATAACACTGCTTCATTGTTAGTACCTGTGATGTGTAGCCTGTACAGAAAGGCCTATTTATAAGCTCTGATATACATTAAAATAATAATAATAATAATATACATAAATAGATATCACATATAGCCTGTGTGAAATAGGCTACATGTGACATTGCTATTTATGCATAATATTATTATTATTTAAACTGCAAAGTTATAATTGGACCATTATTTTCAAATAAATTATACAATTCTTATAATTTCCAATAGAAAAAATATACTATTTAAAATACATTTTAGACTCAAATCTACAAATAAATAGCTTGGTGAAATGAATTACAACTAATTTAAAATATATTTAACTTCTTATGAATTCTACTTTCGGTGTTACAGTGCACATATACTGTAAAAGCGGTGTGTTTTTATTTTGCAGTGCCATTGTTTTGTCTGTATTGTTATGTAAATATATTCCATGACTCGCCTGTTCTAAGCCAATTACTGTGAAGAGGGTTAACAACTCATAATTTGATCAGTGGCTTAAACTGTCCGCAGGGGGAAATGTGAGAACAATAGTGTTTGCAGAACACAAGTTCTTCATAAAAACGAATCCCTCTCAGGGACTGCGTTATCATTCATAAAACACACAAATACATTCTCTCATTCATGCACACACTCACAGCTTGAGATTCTGCCGTAACACACGGCACTTGTCTGTGCTTATGTCATAATTCCACATGCTGGAGAATGTGGAGCAATAGCACAATCCCTCCTCTCTCCACTGCAACACCCAAATAACCACAAAATGACCAGGAAGGGCAGAAAGAGAAGATGCTTGACACGTGAGGAAAGATGACGAAGGTCAGGATTAGGAGAGAGAGAGAAAGAGAGAGAGAGAGAGAGAGAGAGAGAGAGAGAGAGGTGACTGGCTAATCTCTGACAGAAATAAAATGCTTATGTAAGCAAGCTTTTGTGTTCATGTCAACAATCAGAGAGATACAACAATAGAATGATAGACAGAACGATAGAGCGATAGATAGATAGATAGATAGATAGATAGATAGATAGATAGATAGACAGATAGATACACTGTAAAAAATATTTTCAAGATTTGTAATCACAACATTTTTTCTTTTGTCAAATCAACTTAAATAATTTATTTAGTTCAGATAACTTATTATTTTGAGTTTCTGATGATTAAATCAATCTCCTTCATTGTATTAACTCACTTTTTTCATTTCAATCAAATTTAAATTTTAAGGCAACCAGGTTACTTAATATTTTAAGTTAAACCAACAATATTTTTTACAGTGTAGATCGATAGATCGATAGATAGATAGACACCCATAGAATTGTGGATATCTAGACAGACAGACAGACAGACAGACAGATAGATAGATAGATAGATAGATAGATAGATAGATACTTGGATACATTACTTTGACAAAGGTCCATGCACAGGCATATTTTGCAGTGGGCTGAAGTAACGAAAGGGCACTGGGGAGGATTGGGAAAGATTGCTCGGCCAAAATCACGTTCATTGGAGGGACAGGACAGGATGGGACGGGGTGATGGGGGTGAGATCATCCAGAGGAGTCCCTGCCTGGAAATATGTCACAATAAGGATGTATTCATGATGTATTCATGTTGACATTTACAAATAAATTTGGTTTAACTTTCAAGTGAACGTCATACAGCACAGCAATAAACTCAATCCGTTTTATTAATCCAAAAGTAACCAGAAGGCATATGTCCGTCAGGTTCTTGGGTGGAGCTGGGGGGTCTGGTGGGATCTGCAGGTCACACAGAAGGACAGGACACCACAGCCTCCTTCCTGCAGGGGGAGCTGGAGAGGATTCTGCTGGAGGCTCAGCTGGAGTGTGAGAGGAGCAGTCAAACAGAGAGGTGTGTGTGTTTCTGAAGGCCCGTTTAAGCTTTTCTTTGTTCACTTGGAAGTAAATGAATCTGCCTTTAGATCTCTTTATTTTCTTTGTTTCTCTACGTTCAAGCAACGTGTTTACAGTCTGGCAGTGTTGTAATCGAGACCACCTCACTCGAGTCTGAGTCGAGACCGAGACCAGAGAGAGTCGAGTCCAAGTCAAGGCCGAGACCGGGTTGATTACCTAATTTACTTTTATTTACTTAGAGAAATCCTTTTTTTTTTTTTTTTTACTGAATTTTCTTAGAGTTTAAAAAATATGATCAGTTTAGGGTAAAAAGGCCACATAGTAGGTGGTGTTAAAAGTAATTTTATTACAATTTGTCATGCGCAGTTGCGCACTAGAAAATCACCAATCACTGGGCGTGTCAATCAATTTAAAGAAATATTGTATTAACGTACATAAATAATCATGAAAAATATTTTGAATTGAACTCGAGTGGACTCGGGAATAAGTCCGAGTCCTAAAAAATCCTACGAGTCAATTCCGAGTCCAAATGCACACGAGTCCATGACAAGACCAAGACCATTAAAATATGGTCTCGAGACCGAGTCCGAGTCTCGAGTACTACAACACTGCCCTTGTACATGCACATATTGACTGTCACAGCTTGCTAAAGACCAATACACTCTTTGAAGAAAAGGTTCTATATAGAACCCTGGGGTTCCATACTTGGTCAATAGAACCTTTTACCAACAAAAAAATGTTTCTATATAGAACCATTTTGGAGTTCCATATATGAAGCGGGGGATGGAACCATTTCTGGTTCTAAATAGAACCATTTCTTCTAAGAGTGTATTTTTGGAGAAACATGTAGTTATTTTAGTAAAGTGTTTGAGTTTCAGTGTTTTAATTTCAATCAGTTTCCAACATGTTTAGTGATTGATGAGTTGATTGATGATTACATACTAAAAAAGTTTTGGTCGATCGGATCACAAGTGGACGACGTTAACTACAGGTGTAAACGGGGTCTAAAGCGCTGTGAGTTTGTCCATGTTCAACCACTTCCAGAGGTACCACCTAATGAACATTATGGGAAGACTCTAGCCGGACGGGATTTAAACTTTGTCGGGTGAAGACCCAAGTTTGGTTTGAAGATGAAAAACATACCAAGCACAATGTTCTCTCACCATTCCTGATTTCTAACACACACACTCAGCGTTCGGCTGGTCTTGTGGCTGTCAGAGCAGAAATGAAAGCTAATGCTCTCTGTCTGTTTTTCCATGTTCATATGTAAATTGTGCAAGCTTATTTTGTCCATTAGATCGAAAGATCTGGAAAAAAGGCGTACATTTACCCTCCCCGCGAAGAAATCAGGGCTGAAGTGTTTGGAAGTGGACAACACATGTTGTTTTTATAACACAAGTTTCGTCTGTGACTTCAGTCCTCCACAGGTCGTGACCCCGAGAACATCTGGATCTCCTAAACCAGCCAGTGAGGGCAGCAGCAGCAGCACAGACTGTGTTACTATACAGGTAACAGCACTGTTCAGTCTACAGTATGTTAGCTACAACTACATCTCCAGAAAATGTATCTGAACCAGTTACACCCAGAATAGTTATGAGGGTTACAATAATATCCATACTTTTATAATGACTGATCGAGACAGACTTTGCAATGGTAATTGGTTTCATGGTTTTATGTATGAGTTACTCAATCATAAAGCTAAAAAAACCCTCCCTTTGTGTGTCTCATTTATATGGCTGATTCTCAACTGGTGACCAGAGGCGGCCTTTGCAATACTATAATATAAGTCAAGTCAAAGTCAAAGTTTATTTATATAGCACTTTTTAAAAACAACAAGTGCTTAATAAAGTGCTGTACACATACAGTACAAACTTATGCGAACAAACCAACATGACCAAGATACAAGAGATAAAAGAATAAAACAAACTAGCGTCAAATGCCAAACTGTAATAATACGTTTTAAGATTCGATTTAAAAATAGTAATGGTTTGAGACTGCCCGATATACAGGGGCAAACTATTCCACAACTTCGGCCCTGCCACTGAAAATGCTCTTTCACCCCTGGTTTTTAGTTTCGCACGTGGAACAACTAAAAGCAAATGGTCAGCGGACCTAAGCGCTCTTGACGGAGCGTACTGCCTAATCAGTTCCGTCATATACCTAGGAGCAAGGCCGTGAAGCGATTTAAAAACAAACATCAAAAAAAAAAAAAATATGTAAAAATATATACTATAATAATAATTTGTTTGCACCATATCTTGTTTTTTGGAAGCATTTTTTAATAATTTTGGTGGCATTTTTGCCCCAAGCCCTTGTTAATTCCCAACCCTGGTTTGTGCGCAGCGTGATGGCGGGGACGGGGCTCTTTTTCGTGTGCAAGCAGAGGCTCCTTCTGTTGTGAGGTCCGTTTCAAGTGAAACGGGTTAAAACTAGGCCGATACTGCTGGTGACCCACAAATCTGTTGCATTTCTGTTTTTTTGCTGATAATAAAGAGCAGGTAAACAACAAGGATGAATGCAAACGCAACTTTATAATCATGTATGATAGGATAGAAAAACAAATAAAAAGAAATACGACCCAGACGACATTAAAGGGATACTTCACCTCTGGAAAGATGAGTGTGTATTTAAAATGGGTCATTTATGTAGAAGAAATGTAAAAATATTTTTGAATTTGGAGCTTTCTAGACTGAGAAAAGCCAGAAAATGTGGTTTTGGCTTATGTGGATGAAAGACAACAACTCCCAGAATGCACTTGTCGTTAAACAACAAGTCTAGGCTACTAGTGAGTCTCGTGATGAGTCTGCCCGAAAATGTGTTTCCAGATCGCCCGAAATGTCCGGGATTGGGCTTTTGCGTTCTACAGTCGCCATTCATCATGTTTCTTGTAGCGAGCGGGACGAGTGAGGGCCGCGGGAGAACGGCGCGAGGCCGGTGGCGTGATTACCGATGAGCGACACCTGTGAGACGCACCGGTCTCGTATCTCTCACGGAGGAGCGGGAATTTCCTTAGAAATGTTAAAACGCACATCAACCGCGTTCATGTAAACACTACATTCAGATTCACCAATCAGAATTGAAACAAAAGCTGTGCATGTAAACAATGAATGGCGACTCCAGAAAGCAAAAGCTGAATCTCGGACATCGACGGCCGGACATGTCCGGGAAAAAGAGGACTGTAACCCCGACTACTCAGCTTTCTCCACAGAACAAGAGCCTGCTAGCTTAGCTTCCAAAACAAGATGGCCGACACTATGTGTTCATTCTGTGAGTGAGATCGCCCTCTATGGGCGGGTTGAGGACTACTGACTGTAGTCTTTAGCCTCTAGACAAAAAATCCTCCGATGATGCAAAATGACGATTTTTGCGTCATCTGAGGATTTTTTTCCAGACAAAAAATACATAAATCTCTCGTCTCAGGGGGATATGAGGGTGGAAAGCATGGTAATTCGAAAATACTACAGGTTTCCGACTAATACAAAGCTTAATGCTAAATCCTGAAGTAATACAGGTTCACTTGGACAAAGGACAAACATGGTTGTATCAGGTCCACTGTATGGACTGGTTCCTGAAGCACTGATGTAATGCATGTATTTGATTTTGATGTTTGCTCTCTTTCTCTTTCAGTCGGATGAGAATGACAGGCAAGCGAGTGCCGAATGGGTCTGGGATTGGTCCAGTCGGCCAGAAAACCTCCCGCCCAAGTAAGATTTACCTTGAATTCATACTTTGATTCAGTTTAAATCATGTTCGTCTCTTCAGTTCACCTTCTAAAGAGATATAGGCGGTTGATGGTTAGTAATTAATAAATGTATTAGGTTTGAATAGACCTGAGTTTGTAGTATATGATGGAACTGCAGGGGATTTGTTTGTTAGACTTTTGGAAATAGTTTAATCCGAACCCTTTCCTCAGGTTTTATATGCAAAAGTGAGTATTACTGGATATACAGATGTGTATTGAAATTAATACTTTACCCCCAGCATAAAAAAAAATATTTATTTTTAGAGACCATTAAGTTTTTTTTTTGCATTGAGTTGTTCGCATTACTTTCCATTAATTAAAATCTGCATTAAAAAAATCACATTAATATTACAATATTATGTAAAAAAAATTATTAAGAATTTATTCACTAAGGATGCATTAAATTGATCAAAAGTGCCAGTAAAACAAAATATTTCTATGTTGAAACGTATCTCAGTTTCCACCAAAGTATGAAGCAGCACAACCGTTTTTAACATTGATGATAATCAGAAATCATCATATTAGAGTGATTTCTGAAGGATCTTGTGATACTGAAGACTGGAGTAATGATGCTGAAAATTCTGCTTTGATTTTGATTTCACAATATTACTGTATTTTTGATCAAATAAGTAAGAGACCTCTTTCAAAAACTTTTTTAAAAATCTTACCAACCACAAATTTTTGTTTGGATAGTTCATATAGTAAATAAACTTGAGTTCTAGCTGACCAAAACCCCTGGAATAGATAGAATAATAAAGTTTAAACTTTTTTTTTTGTTTGCACAAGATACCAGTTTACAGTCCTAGATATAATGATGCTTATTAAGGACATAAAAACGTCATTTTGGAAGAAAATAAATGAGGTGTTGCTCTTGTGTGCGGACGTGTCTTCACAGATTGCCAGTTCTTGCAGTGGAGCGTTTGACCTCCGCATACCTCTGCTTAAATCTCAGAGAGGATCATTTAGTCGCCACACAAAAATAGCTTGTGCGCCACACCATGAGTCAGCGAATCTGAGTTGGCTCTCTAGAGGAGAAACTTTGTCATGCACATATCATTAGAGATAAAAAACAACAACTTTGCAACAAAAACTTTTTTGGATTGCAACGTTTAATGATGCAGGATTGCAGATTTTAGCAATAGAGACTGTTCCGATATCATGGTGCTATTAAAAGCAAAAACCCTTTGAGAAAGCACAAAAAGCTTTACTTTGTCATTGTCAATTTTCATGGCGCATATACGCACTGTGCAAAAATAAATCTTGCTGCACAAATGTTTCAAAGGTTATTTGAAGAAATAGAGTCATTTATTTAAAACGTTCACATTAAATTTGATCGTTTAATCGATTAGTCACTGCAGCCCTTAAAAAACAACATAAAACATAAAAAATGCAAACATACACTTTCCTGCAACCAATGTGGATTTGAGTTTTATCTTGGTTGCATTGAGCTGTGGTGTCAGTCTGTGATGTTTTTTCGTGAAACTTCTTTGCATATTCTCACGTGTGTGAGGTCCAGTCTGATTTCATTACAGCAACAAGCTTTATATGATGGGATACACATGATTTAAACGGATTACAATGCTGAATTTGGCTTAATCTGTTTCAGAGAAATTAAGCTTAAAACACCTTCAGGGTCACATGGTGCACGCTTGTTAAATTCTCCATTCTGACGTGATATTTGTTAAGCTAAACTCGGTCCAGGAGAGTCCTGCGGGGTTGAGCTCCAACTTGCCTCAGGTTTCTAGTATGCGTACTCCGAGTCAGAGATGGTCTTATGCTGCGTTCAAGTCCTCCAAGTTCGTGCGTACGAGGTGGGAAGCCGTGTTTACGACATGAGGTGCATTCAAGTCAGTTTCGTCGGAGCAAAATGGCGGTGTACCTTCTTTTAATGAATTACACGAAAATACAGCAATTTGTTAACTCTGCTAATAAAAAAATTGAAAATAACAAAGAATGCGCATCAGGTGTGTTTTTCTTTTTATGTTTTTATTAGCTTATCAGTCCCTCCAGAAAAACGCGATTATGCGATCGCTGAATTCAATGCAAAATCAGCCAAAGTCCGCATATTTATGCGGGGGCCGCATTTTTTCAAATACGCCGCACTTTCGCCGCATAAATTGCCGATTTCCGTGCAAAATATGTGGGATTTGCATAATTTCATAATCCTCGCATTTTCGTTGCAAAAAAAGTCACATGTATCTTAGCAGAAAGTTGAAAAATGTGCGTTTGCTTCACACAAGAGCAGCCATTTCCCCCTGTTTCCATGGGGACGTTATGAAGTGACGCAATTACGCGACGCCAGACAGACTCACGGAGGCGATGACATCTCACAAATCGAACTCGTATAACTGTCTGTCACACGTTTTACCGTCACGTCGTTACTTAATAAACAACATAATATAAAATAAGTAGCATCAAACAGAAATTACCCGCACACATGGGGTGTTTGAGGCGCACATATAACACTGCAGAGAGTTCAACAGGGAGCGCAAATTTTTGGAAATTACCACCACAAAATCAGTCATTTTGATCGCAAAAATCACAAAAAAAAATCGTGAAATCCTGGAGGGACTGGCTTATGAAGCCAATGTAAACTCTATCATTAGGTATAATTTTTATATTATAATGATATCATATTTTGTGCAGAGAGCTTGCTTTATAAATGAAAAAGCCTTAGAATGTTAATGAGTAAACATTGAAATTCAATTAAAATGTACCGTCAACAGATGTTAAATGAACGTTTCTCACTGACACGCCCCCAACTCGTACAGATCAGGGCTTAAAGAAAATCCCGAGCTCCCCACTGGTATACGACATTGTGGTGGCGTTCAAGTGCGTTCAACTCGTAATTCCGATCTATACGAGATGACTTGAACGTAGCATTATTATTGGGAGATATGAGGGTCCGTGACTCTACCATTGGAGAAGGCGTAAAGGCTAACTTGATCACGTGTGCTTTGATAACCAATCACATTACAGCCTTGACATCATTTAATTTCGACTGTATCGCTGTTTGCGGATACCATAGAAATGAATGAAAAGTGCCTTAAATGGGTGGTTGATTATGATTTCAATGGGCCAATGGAGGTCGACGTCCGCACCTGGCGGCCATCTTGTCACAGGCAGCTCGCTCACTCGTAACATTGTGTTTCAATGGTGCATGTACTTTTTAAATAACCATAACTTGCTCAATTTTCTACAGATTTTCAAACGGTTTGGTTTGTTATAAATGTGAGAAATGTAGTTACGACACTGCATACTTATATAATCATCCAGAATTATTGCCACGTAAATAATAACGTTTGTAAGAAACCAAACCGTTTGTAAATCCGTCAAGATTTCAACGAGATAAGAGTGTTTGTGTTCGTGCTGGTCACTATCTTACATCAGCTTGCTTATGACAAGATGGCCGCCGGTGATGACGAAAGAGACTCCGTCGTAAGACATCTAGCTTTTATTATGGATATCTATGATTGGAGCTACACTCTGTAGGACAGTGGCCCTCCAGGAGCGAAGTTGCCCATTCCTGAAATAAGATATTTCCTCACAAAAGCGGTTTATTCAGCCGAGTGAAGCTTCAAGCAAGACTTTGATTAGCTGCTTCAGGTGTGTTTAATTGGGGTTGGCGCTAAACTTTGCAGAACAGTGGACCTCCAGGAGCAGGATTGGACTCCAGACGCCACACTTTTAGATAAAATAGGGCCCCTTATTGAATATATTTATATTCTCACGTCTGCAGTGTCCTAAATCCATGTATACGTACACTCTTAGAAGAAAAGGTTCTATATAGAACCTAAAAAGGTTCTATCAGTGCTACATATTTGGAACTCCTAAAAGTTCTATACAGTCTTGAAAAAAGGGTTCCTCTGGGTTCTATATAGAACCCTGGGGTTCCGTACTTGGCCAATAGAACCTTTTACCAAAAAAATGGTTCTATATAGAACCATTTTGGAGTTCCATATATGAAGCGGGGCATGGAACCATTTCTGGTTCTAAATAGAACCATTTCTTCTAAGAGTGTAGATTATATTGCCGAATGACCCTGATCTCTCTCTCTCTCTCTCTCTCTCTGTAGGGAGTTTGTGTTTCATCACCCAAAGCAGTCAGGCTCTCTGAGCGTGAGGAAGACTGAGGTGATGAAGAGGGGTTTGTTTTCCTCAGACGTGCTCCTCATCCTCCTGCCCTCTCTGCTCGCCTCACATGCTCTGACGCTGGGTCTGGGGTGAGGCAAATCATATTTCATATCATATCATATATCATTGCAAATCAGCGATCAATTTAAGACAGTTTTTTCATAAAAACTGCAGCAATGACATTTATCTGTTCAAACAGTCCATATCTATAGTTCCCTTTGTGCATTTTAATATTTTACAGAATTAAAGCACTGTTTACCTGCATTAAAAAAAGTGTAGGATTCATTGAACTCATTGTTTACTTGCGAGTCTTTGGCTGATTTTAATGCAAAAGATGATTGATGTTGATTGGGAAAGAGCCATTTTCGATCCCATCATAAGCCTTATTTGCCGTCAGTGTTAGGAATTTAAATGCACCATTGTACACGTAGTGCTCAAATGTCAGAGTGTGCGTTTTGCCATCCATTAGTGAAGGCAATCTGTTTTATTTGTTTTTGATTGGGAGTGTTTATGCATTTAAAGGAGTAGTTCACTTTTAAAAACACTTTTGCTGATAATTTACTCACCCCCATGTCATCCAAGATGTCCATGTCTTTCTTTCTTCAGTCGAAAAGAAATTAAGGTTTTTGATGAAAACATTCCAGGATTTTTCTCCATATAATGGACTTCAATGGGAACCAAACGGTTCAAGTTCCAAAAGACAGTTTCAGTGCAAACTACAAACTGTTCAAAGGACTTTAAGCGATTCCAGACGATGAATAAGGGTCTTATCAAGTGAAATGATCGCTCATTTAATAAATAAATAACAAAGTTTAAGTTTTATAAGCTCAAATGCTCGCCTTGTTCTGTTCTGTGATGCGCGTTCGTGACTCTCCTGTTCAAACTTGTTCATCAAAATGAACGAACCTTTTCCCAAGTCAACTCGTTCATTTCGTTCGTTGAATGAACCAAATGACACGAAAAAAGATTTGTTCATTTTTCTAAAGAAGTTCGAACAGGAGAGTCACGAACGCTCATCACAGAACAGAGCAAGGCGAGCATTTGAGCTTATAAAACTTAAACTTTGTTATTTTTTTTAAATGAGCGTTCGTTTCGCTTGATAAGACCCTTATTCATCGCCTGGAATTGTTTAAAGCCCTTTGAACAGTTTGCAGTTTGCACTGAAACTCTTTTGGACCTTGAACCGTTTGGTCCCCATTGAAGTCCATTATATGGAGGAAAATCCTGGAATGTTTTCATCAAAAACCTAAATTTCTTTTCGACTGAAGAAAGAAAGACGTGGACATCTTGCATGACATGGGGGTGAGTGAATTATCGGCAAAAGTGAACAACTCCTTTAAATAGTATTGCTCTTCTATCACTTCACTTTTCTCTCTTTACTTCTTTTTTCCTCTTCTTTCCTCTTCACTTTTGATGATTTGAATGGGTCCTCGCTGAATAAAAGTATGAATTACTTTTATCATACTGATCTTAAACTTTTAGTCTTAGATGGTCTTTGGCTCATGACGCTGTGAGTGTTTCTCTGCATAAGCCTCCGAGTCCCATATGTCTGTGTTTGCAATAAATCAAAAAACAAATAAAAGCGTTTGTGCTCAGACTCTCTAAAATGTATTGAGCTGAACGAATTGAATTTTTGACTTACATTTTCAATACAGGCATTGATGTTGAATAAGAAAGAACACAAAGATGAGAAACGATGATAAATTATCTTTCTTTCTTTCTTTCTTTCTTTCTTTCTTTCTTTCTTTCTTTCTTTCTTTCTTTCTTTCTTTCTTTCTTTCTTTCTTTCTTTCTTTCTTTCTACCTAATCTTTCTACCTAATCTTTCTTTCTTTCTTCTTCCTGTCTTTCTTTCTTTCTTTCTTTCTTTCTTTCTTTCTTTCTTTCTTTCTTTCTTTCTTTCTTTCTTTCTTTCTTTCTTTCTTTCTTTCTTTCTTTCTACCTAATCTTTCTTTCTTTCTTTCTTTCTACCTACCTAATCTTTCTGTCTTTTTTTCTTTCTTTCTTTCTTTCTTTCTCAGAATATACATAGGGAAACGGCTGGCATCCTCCTCCACCAGCACGCTGTGACATGTGACATGTGGCAGCTCACCGATTGGCTTAGACCGCTGCCGCTAGCACCGCAGCCCAATCACGCCTCTCTTCTCCTCTTGTGATGGGCAACTGCCTCTTCTGTCTCTGTCTGTCCCACCACAAAACCAGTCTGTCCGTCTCCAATTGGGTCATAGGGCGAGGAATCCATTTTCAGATAAAAGAGCCTGATGTCTTGTGACCATATACTCCTTCAGAATATGAAAAGCATTTATTAAAACAAAGCTACAAAAATAACTTGTTCTGTACTACTCGCTAATAAAGACATTTAGATAACAAACTATTAAACTGCAATTCAAACGTTATCACATGACTGGCCACATTTAGATATACATTTTTCGTTTGCTAAGAACAGGTTGCACATTTTCAGGCAAAGAACTTGAATCCAATAAAGTTTAGCAATATATATGTGGATTTGTGGAAAAAATCCACAAATGTGGAAGTGTGTATATGTGGAAAATGATATATGATTTGACTCCTTGTGCATCTTTTTAGGACTAAACTGTCCCTCTAAATCTTTTTGTAGTTGTTTCTCTTTTATTGTTCATGTGTGTGTGTCAGTAATACAGACATTTAGCTGAAACAGTGTAAATGAAGAGAAAACCAACAGTTATTTTACATCTAATTCCAGATCAAATGCAAAACATGCATTCAGCTTGACAGGGGGTTTGTTCAGTGTGTATTTATGGAGCAAATAATATAATGAATCTTGTGTTGCACTATTGTGTTTGCGATATATAGACCCGTTTCGAGTTGAAATGTGAAGGCAACTGGAGAATAATCTCGTTTGTAACGACTCGACCTCAATAAACACTCTTACCACCTTCTGCTTGGTATGGTATTTTACTTCAAAATAGATTTGAGGATTTCACCTTTAATAAATTATAGAAAGTGTGTTGTGTTATTGAGCGTGTATTCTATTGGAATACAATGGAAATGCAATGTTAAAAGATATAATATATGTACTAATAATAACTAATAATAATAATAACTAATAATAACTAATATGTACATGGACTTGCTTCTAATCAATGTCAAGATTTTAGGTTGAAATCTAAGGGGATTTGTTTAATTTGCCTATTTCATGTGATCAACATTTTGGTTAATTTTTTTTTTCTCACAATATTTAGTCACTTTTTCCCTTTGGATCATTTTAAAGGTCTTGTGATGTGAAGATGTGTTAAAAAAATGCAAATATTCTATTTATTCAAAGTCAGCTTTCTAGAAGTATTTTATATCAGCTAACCAAATGTCAAATACTATAGTATTTCTCTGATACTATTTATAAAACACAATACAAAGACAACACACTGATTTTTTTTATTTTTTATTCTCAGACAAATGTAACTTTAAGGATGTTTAAATATATAACAAGACAAAGATACTGATCATTTCTGTGACATGCAATGCAGGAATTAGAATTAATTTTTAGTACTAGAATTTGACAGTGCTTTTTGTTCTTGCAAAGTCACTGTATACTTTTATTGCATAAAAAACAGCTTGGCAGTCCGGTAAACACCTTTTTGTGTTTGACAGAAGAGAGAAAGTGAAACAGGTTTGAATCAACATGAGGTTTGAGCATTACATTCCCTTCCTTAACTTATGCCCTCTCATATGCATAATAAAAGGAGCATTTATGCAGATATGCAGACAAATACTAGGAAAGGGAATGAATGGAAAGCTATTGTTCATATTTCACAAGCGTGTGATTCCCTGAATATGCACCAGAGGTCAGAAGTGCTCTAGTGTGCTCTGCAGTATTTAGAGACAAGCGGTTCAAATGGGTTAATATCTAATATCGGTCTGTAGTTAAAATGAGTTATGGCGAGGCTTTACAATATTCTTTCATTTTTCATTTGAAAAATTTACGAGCACAATCAAAAATTTAGGAGCACCTTCTGATCGATGACAGAAATAAACTTTCCCATTACGGGCCAATATTATATTATAATAAAATACAATCTGTATCAATAAGATGCATTGCAAAGTTTAATTATTATTACAGTTACAGGCTGTTTAATGCAGCTTATGGTGACATTAATGAAATTACATTGCAATCACAATTGCATAATGTTATGAGATTAATGTTTTAAATATAACATTTGGAATACAGAAATATGAAATGATAAAAAGAGGAAATTATACTTTATATTTGGCTGTACGTCACTGTCTCATTGAAATATTAATTCAATCGATTCGTTCAAAACGGAACGCCGCTGTGTTTTGCTCTGAGATGCACAACCGTTCTGTTCTAGCTTTGTTTGGATTTAAATAGAGCAAAAACAGACAATAATGTGTGTGTCTAAAATATAGCCTATTATAGCTTGTTATTAAACTATCACATTTGCAATTGTGTTGATATTTGGAAAAACATCTCTTTTGCTCATGTTATATTGCTGAGCTATATCATATAAAAATATTAAAAACAAGAACTCATACAGAGGCACTTTTTGAGATTGTCCTCACTGCAGAAAACAAAATCCAGGGGGAGGAGTTGGATCATGTTCCAACTCCTCCCAACTTACATATACCTAATCCTACCCATCTCCACCCCCTGATCCCTAACCCCACCCCTAATCCTACCCATCTCCACCCCCTGATCCTAACCCCACCCCCTAATCCTACCCATCTCCACCCCCTGATCCCTAACCCCCACCCCTAATCCTACCCATCCCACCCCCTGATCCCTAACCCACCCCTAATCCTACCCATCTCCACCCCTGATCCCTAACCCAAACCACACCCTTCCTACCCATCTCCGCCCCCTGATCCCTAACCACACCCCTAATCCTACACATCTCCGCCCCCTGATCCCTAACCCCACCCCTAATCCTACCCATCTCCGCCCCCTGCCCTACCCCCACCCCTAATCCTACCCATCTCCGCCCCCTGACCCTAACCCCACCCCTAATCTACACAACTCCGCCCCCTGATCCCTAATCCTACCCATCTCCGCCCCCTGATCCCTAACCCCACCCCTAATCCTAGCCATCTCCGCCCCCTGATCCCTAACCCCACCCCTAATCCTACCCATCTCCACCCCCTGATCCCTAACCCCACCCCTAATCCTACCCATCTCCACCCCCTGATCCCTAACCCCACCCCTATCCTAGCCATCTCCGCCCCCTGATCCCTAACCCCACCCCTAATCCTACCCATCTCCACCCCCTGATCCCTAACCCCACCCCTAATCCTACCATCTCCGTCCCCTGATCCCTAACCCCACCCCTAATCCTACCCATCTCCGTCCCCTGATCCCTACCCCCACCCCTTACTGTCCTGCATGGAGATGCATTATGGGAGTTGTAGTTTGTAACTCTGTTTCATTATTGACAATATTTCTTTTCTCAGAAGCCAGCATTTTCCTTACTGGTCCTGTTTTCCTACTCTTTCCTACTCTCTTTACTTTCTTCTGCCCCTTGAACTTCTCACTTGTGATGGAAGGGTGGCGAAATTCAATTTGGTGCAGTAAAAATTAAGACAAAGAGGCCGGAGTTTGTCTTGTCATTTTTCTGGAGGCACAGATTTAGATAAAGAGGGAGGGAAAACAACAGTGACAAATTGATCAAAGCCTGTCTGCCTCTTGTTCAGGAAATTGATGGTCAGGAGGAATGAAAGCTCTGGGAGATGAGAGATGAAGGACCAGAAGCTCTCGGCATGGCCAGCGTGGTCAAAGTTTGGGCCTGAAATTTCAACTTATACTAATGCATCCAGATATTTTACAAGTCGTTTCACAAATCAGTTTAATTCCTTATGTTGCATGAATACATTTATTTAATTATTTATTGAAATTACATTAGAATGAGATTCACAATGCAAAAAAATGTCAATGGTTCTAAAATATATTTCTTTTATTATGAGTAAAGTGGCAATGGTTCTTAAGGATGTGAGCATGTTCTTGCGTTCATAAAGCTGAGGTCTGCTGAAGTGTGTCTAATGGAGGCGGGATTTTGTAGTTTGTGCGTCTATATGTTTGTGTGTGTATTTTCTTAGACTTCGGTTCTCCTTGTTCTTTGTGTCAGAACACATTACCTGTTCTCTAACCATGTGTTTACATCTATAACCATCACTAGGGGTGTGAAGTCAACACACACACACTTCACATATTCAGTACTGAAAATAGATTATAACACGAAAGGATGTGAGGGTGAATCTCACAGAACCCCATTGAATGTGTCCAAGATATATACTATATATATATATATATATATATATATAGTTTGTTCTTTTTCCATTATCGAATCCATTATTAAAAATTAAACCTGTGCATGCTTTTATTAGATTAACCCATTAAAGGAATAAAATTGTACATTATTGAAGCATTTTTTCCCCTTGACCTTCCCTTCAAGGTTTCTTGCCGTCAAATTTAGTCCACTCTAAGCCATTTAAGGCAGTTTTTACTACTGTACCTTTAAGACATCTTGTCAATATGTCAGTGACCACACAATCTCTGTGTACTAGTTTAGTTCACAGACATTGTACTTAATGAGGATGAGTTAGGTTTACTGAATGGGTGTTGATATGCAAATATGGCTGTGACTCCGTATCATTTATTTCTGAAATGACCAGTTTTGCAGTTTAATATTTGTAAATGCATACAAAGTAAATCAAGTCAAGTCACCGACAGCACTTTATCCAATACAGATTGTTTCAAAGCAGCTTTTCAATTGTTGTGTAAAGCAGCTCTAAAAAGACAATATAGTCATTATTCAGGTGAAATCAGTTCAGTGTTGATTCAGGTCAGTTTATTAACCCTCAGGTGCTCTTCGTTTCGGAGTCACACTTGTTATCTTCCCGGTCAAAAGTGACCGGACACCTAAAAATGAAACTTTCTTCATCCCAGTAAAACCAATGCAATTTATTTTTGTTCTATAATATTTATTCTTTTTACTTTAGTATTTTGAGACAGTTTGATTGAATTTATTAATATTTATGTAATATTTATGGTTTATTTTTGCCATGGAAACGTATATATATTTTTCTAAATATATATAATTAAAAAAAAAAAATTATGAATGCAGTATTTTAGCATACTATAGAGTCTTAGCCTTCAGAAAAAAAATATTTTTTGAAGAAAATTAGCACCATCTAGTTACAGTATAGAGAAAAAGCGTAGAATCATGGTGTAATCACTAGCCTTCGTTTCGGAGTCACACTTGTTATCTTCCCGGTCAAAAGTGACCGGACACCTAAAAATGAAACTTTCTCCATCCCAGTAAAACCAATGCAATTTATTTTTGTTCAGTTATATTTTTTCTTTTTAATTTTGTATTTTGAGCCAATTTGATGTTACTTATTAATATTTATGCAATATTTATGGTCCATTTTTGCCATTGAAAATAATACAAACTTTTTTTTATATATACATTTTTTATTGTATTTTTTTAAGCAGTATTTTAGGTTAAAATAGAGACTAGGCCTTCCAAAAAAACTTTTTGAAGGCAGATTAGCGCCATCTGGTAAGAGTATGGAGAGAAAGCGTAGAACCATGTTGTAATCACTAGATGAAATGTACAGTTCTCTATGGAGAGGCATGTGAATTCCCCAGCTGTTCATGGACACGTTTACTTAGATTTTTTGTTATAGGTGGATTTCAACATATATTTAAACAATCTCAAAGACTATTTCTTATCAAGTTTTAGATTTTTTTTTTAAATAGTGATTTAAAGTGTTAGTTTTTGCATTATGATTACAGTCAAACCTAAACATTGTGTTAGAAAGAGAATGCTAGGAAGCAAATTTTATACACATTTTTTTTTATTCTGAATTTTTACAAAAAAACAAACAATGCAATTCATTCAATTATAACACTTTATGTAAAATAATATTTAATG